ATGTGCATCGACTACCACGCCTTGAACCGGGTTACCATCAAGTCCCGCTATCTTATCCCACATGCCGACGAACTCATCGACCAACTTCGTGGGGCAAAGTTCTTTTCGAAAATTGACTTGCGAGGCGGTTACCATCAAATCCGCGTTAACGAAGCTGAATGCTACAAGACGGCGTTCCGAACCCGGTACGGGAGTTACGAGTACACGGTTATGCCTTTTGGCTTAACAAATGCGCCTTTGATGTTCCAGTTAACCATGAATGAAGTTTTTCGACCGCTGCTGGATAAATGCGTCATCGTGTACCTCGACGATATCCGGATCTTCAGTACTGCACGGGAACAGCATTTGAAGGATTTGGAAGCCGTCTTCTCTCTCCTGCAGCAGCACCGACTCATCACCAAGGGCTCTAAATGAGAGTTTCTGAAACAAGAACTGGAGTTTTTGGGACACGTTATTTCCATCGACGGTGCTAAAATCGATCCGAAAGAAATCGCCACCATACATGACTGGAAGCCGCCGGCTAATCTCCGCGAACTTCAAAGTTTCCTGGGTTTGTGAATTACGTTCGCCGGTTCATTCCGAGCATGGCGGGGGTAACTTCCCCTCTCACGGATCTCCTGAAGAAAGGCAAGTTTTATGAGTGGGGGGGAGAGCAGCAGGCTGCGTTCGACCAACTCAAAAATTTCTTGACAACACCTCCGGTTCTTCGCATTGCAGATCCTCACCGTCCGTTCGAGCTCATCACCGACGCTAGCGACCTGGCTGTTGGCGCCGTACTGTTACAAGACTTCGGCGAAGGCCTTCAACCCATCGCCTACGAATCACGAAAGCTGAATCCGGCCGAGCGAAATTATCCTGCCCACGACAAGGAGTTACTCCCCATCGTTCACGCTTTCAAGGTCTGGCGCTGCTACCTGACGGGCGCTGCCATGATAGTCCGAATAGACCACAAATCGCTACAGTTCATCCGTGCCCAACCGACACTCAATCCCCGACAAATTCGCTGGCTTAATTATCTCGAGTCGAATTTCCACTACAGAGTCACCTATTAGCGGGGGGCCAGCAACATCGCCGACGCACTGACCCGCCCTTCATTCCACACCGCCGCAATCCTAATCACCCAAGCTAATCCGCTGCTAACTGGCCTATTCACCCACAGATACAGTACCAATCCATTCTTCACCACTTACAGTCATCCCCAACTGGCAGTCAAGCAGGGGGCTTATTGCCTAAAATCCGGTACCAATCGGATTTGGGTTCCCGCCTACCATACCCTACGCGAACTACTGATACAGGAGGCACACGACTCGAATTTCTCGGGTCACTACGGCATCGACAAAACTGCCAAATTACTGCGCCGTAATTATTACTGGCCACATGTCGACAGACGTGCAGCAGTACGTCACCTCCTGCGCCACGTGTCAACGCATGAAGTCGTCACGACTTCGACCTGCGTGATTACTGCAGCCACTCGAGCCACCCATCCGACCCTGGCAACAAGTCGTTGACTGGTTGACCAAGATGGCCCACTTCGCCGCCTGCAAGACGACAATCACTGCCGACCAGACAACGAAGCTATTCCTCACGAACACCGTGTGGCTACACGGCATTCCTTCGTCAATCATCAGCGATCGCGACCCTCGGTTCACGTCAAACTTCTGGACAAAAACCTGGCAGCAGTTCGGCACACGTTTGCATCTGTCCACGGCATACCACCCGCAATCGGACGGCCAGACTGAGCGCACCAATCAGACGATGGAGCAGCTGATTCGCACGACGTGCACAGACTACTCAGCTGTGACTAAAATTCTCTTCCATGAGCACGAGTTTGCGTACAACAACGCCCCATCAGCCACGACTACTCAGTCCCCATTCTTCCTTAATTACGGGATAGACCCGACAACCCCTCTATCGACACCGATAGAAAATCTGGCACCAAGGTCGCAGCAGTTCGTCGAAAATCTTCGACAGTCCCAGCAAAAAGCCGCTGATGCCATCCTCAAAGCCAACCAACGGGCTAAGCAGCAAGCTGACCGACGATGCCGAGACTTAACACTTGCTCCTGGGCAATTGGTCCTACTCGACACCAGAAATTTGGCAATTCCCCTCCCAAATAAACTACCACCAAGATTTTGCGGCCCATTCCGCATCATCCGCATGGTGACACCCGTCAACGCCAAGCTGCAACTACCGGTCGACTGGCGAATCCATGATTCATTCCACGTCAGCCTTCTGCGACCGTTCGTCCCGAGTACAACTGATCTCGACCGTCAACACATCAATCCTACGGTCAACCCAGTACCCGAGCCGACAATCGAGCCATCGAAGATTCTCGCTCATCGCGTACGAGGCCATAGAGATACGGCAGCCGTTGATTTCCTTGTACGATGGGTCGATCGCACGACTGACGACGACCTTTGGGTCCCCGCAGCTATGCTCCGCGAACACGAAGTTGTCCGGGACTATTTACATCGACGACATGTCCCGGATGTGGGTAGTCTCATCCCGGGAGGGGGGGTGGTGTAAGGAAATTCCCTTTTCCTTACTGGGCTCGACTACAGCGCGGAAGTCCAGGCTCGGCCAACTTCTTCGGTCCCGAACCACTTCGCCAACCCAAACACTGACGCGCAGCGCTTCCATGGCTTTCGCCAACCGAATCGCCCCAACCTGTTCGCGTGGTTCTCGGCTAGCTTTGTTCATGCCTATAAATGCCTAGACCTCATTTATATCGACACTCTTGAATCACGACTCCTTTATTACACTACCTTTTATTTCTCTGATTAATTGACAACACAATACGAACCTTGTTACAAAGCAAGATGCTTGCTGTAAGGAATGAGTAATTCCTTACTGAGGCTTGCTACAGAGCGTACGACTCGAACAGTCCCGAACCAGCGCTAGGGTTCCAGACCTTTCAGTTCGAGCCTCCTGGGCCTTTCCGGACCTCGCTACGATACATCGAGGCCCTTCGATACTTTTCCCGAACCTTCCGATCCTACGTCCAGGATCACCCTAGGCTTTCTATATATTGTATTGTCTTTCATTTTATTGTCATTCACTCGTTCACAGTTTCGCCATTGCCCTCCGCGCTACTCGGCAGTCCCATTCATTAACACTTGCAAATATCACAACCAGTCTCGAAGAAAGATCAACCAACGAGAGTTAGCACATATGAGTAATACTTCACGAAGGGTTCAACTTGCCGTTTGTTTCTCCGCAGCGGGCATCATTGGCGCATCCCGGGCAAAGCTTTCTTGAAGACATCAGAAAATCCCATTTGCGCACCACGAGAATCCACGGCATTTATTTTTGGTCTGCGATTTGTAAAATCTTTCCAAACTCCAGTTCTGGGTGGCGATTTTGGAACTCCAGGAGTTTCCGAAACGTTTTGGAGTATATTTTTTCCTTTTAGAAAAAATGAACCCTTGGAAACGGTGGCTAGGGTGGGGTATGACATAGGGTGAGCATACCATAATCACGGCTATCAGCAGGAGTGACCCATCCCACATTCATACATCCCGTGTTCCAGAACGAGAAGTGCGACTGAGTGGGATGGATGTTTTTATTATGAGAACTCGGAGCACTGAACATCGATGATCTCGAGCAATTGAGCAATGAAAACATCCCGCAGCAAAAACTGCGCTGTCAGGTCAGCCCTCGTTTGGAAAACTTTTGACAGTGTTCGCGCCTCAAATGCAGCCAGACCAGCCCACCTTGTGTGGCTGGAACGAGATCTGGCGCATGCTGTACAGTACAATCTGTCTTGGCTGACATTCCATTGGCTCTCCGTTGACGATCGTCCATGTAGAAATTGCACGGTGGACGGACAACCGACAGATTTGCCGTCGCTGCAAAGAAAGCAATGATTTCCTTGCGGTGATTATCTCTGTGGCAGCTTGCTTGATTTCCATTGTGCCCTGCTCTCTTGACGGCTTTCCGAATTACACCGGCAAATTCGCCGGCCGGGCAGGAACGATTTCCCATGTTGCCCTCCTGCTGCTGGGTAGCTGGCCGGCTTAATGATGGTCGGTTATTGCTAAGTCTGACGACGCTGGTTGCTCTCCCGAAATGAAGCACCTTAATTGGCCGAATATATGTCGGCCAAAGAATAGTGCGCGGCTGGCCGTTTTCCTGCCAGCTAAATCGCCGGCGATCATGACACGGTTGTCGGTTACCGTTGAAGATGACGGCGCCGGTTGCCGCTCCAACCTGAGGCTCTTCACTGGCCAACAAATCGTCCACTGTGCGACTGTGTTCGCGTGGCGACGAGGCGATGCGTGGCCAGAATGTACAGTAAACATCTGGCATTCCCCGTTTCGCTACACTGGGGGTCTATGTCTAGACCAGGCCTCTCGCTAGGCCCCAGGGTATTCCGGAAGGGGACGGAATCGCCTCAAGATTACCCGTTAACAGACGGAATTCTCCCGGAAAAACCCGTTACCGAAAGGAAAGGGTGGGGGGGGGGGGGGGGGGTAAGGGGTGGGGTGCTACCCCCTACAGATTGCCCTGCTACAAGTATATCCCGTACGGATTCCAAAAGAAGTTACTCGTTAGGCTAGGTAATCGCGCGAAATTGTTTCCTTAAGTTGGACGAATTCGGGAAAAATATCGCACTGTAAAAAAACGGAATTACTTGAAAATTACTCTTAAATTCTCACGGTTAAGAAAAATTACCCTGTTATTAAGAGGCCTGGTCTAGATGTTGCACACTAAGGGGTTGAGTTGGAAACTCTCTGTTCACGTGGTCACAGTGCCCGGAAAACAATGGACGGCTCTCAACGTGCAGAACTGTCGCAGATCCCTCACGGCTTGCCATAAGCACACACGTTCAGTTACGCAGAAAGCCTAATTTGACAAGAGCACCCGCTGTCACTCATTTCATCGCTCAAAACAGATCGCATTCTAGCAGTCCCTCTCCACCAAATATTGTCGCTTTTGTAGAGTTGAAAACTTGAAGTCTCCCGCTCACTTGCACAACGTTCTCTTCCCTTCAAAATGCACACCACCTGCCACAATGAGAGAAACAGTTTACCAGTTGGACTTCAAAGTTGAGAGACACAGGTAGCAAACGCGCGTGGAGTTTCCAGCACTAGCGGGAGTGGTAAGATGAATCCCAATCCGAACGACCGTCGTGACGACGGCCACGGCGCCCCCAGCGACGCCTTGAAAGCGCCAGTCGCGGGAGAAGGACTCGCAGCGGACGCGACGGCGATCCGCGAATGGCGCGATCGGCAGAAACTGGTGGAAATCGTCGCGAGAGACGGCCACCATTGGCTTAAGTACGGCGAGAAGCCTCTCATGCGAACCGGAATCATCAGGTAGGCGAGAGCTTATATTATTGTTTTTTTTCTTCTTCTTCTTTTCTCTTGTGCTTTGGAAAAAAGGCGGAGAAACATGGATTACAGACGAGACGCTTATCCAAGACACGTTTCCCCCCCCCCCCCCCTCTTTTTTTCTGAAACCCCTTTTAGGATATGATTTGTTGTCCTACACGTAGTCTCATTCTCGTGCCCTTTTCTGTTTTAATTTTCTTTCTTTTTCAGGGCATACTACCGCTGTGGATTCACCAATAAAGGGGCGGGGTGTCCCGCCAAGAAGACCATCGACCGCAACCCCGACGCAGTGGTAACAGAAGAGAACGTGCAAGTGTCATACAGCAACAACCACAACCACCAAAAAGAACAGCCACCACAGCCTGCGGAGCGCCCCGCATCGATCCCAAAGGCTGGGTCGGAGGCAGAGCGGCAGAGAAACCCTACCCTCAAGGGAGAGGCTTCAGCGGCTGGTGCACTTGCCGCAGCACCTGCTTCACCCTCTGCTGCTTCAAGCAGAAGTTCTGCTCGTGCTGCTGTGTCTGCTGCTGTCACCAACACTGCCGCTACTAGCGTTGCTGCCCGACCAACAATCGACTCGTCAGCAGCCCGACAGCAGCGAGAAAGGTCAGAATTGCAGCAAAGCAACACTGCGCGTGATAGTAGTAGGGTTCATGAGGGTAGGGATATTGAGGGTGGGTTATTCGAGCCACTGATTGCAAGAGCTGACCCAGTCAATGCTGCTGCTGGTGCTGCTTCAAGCCACCAGGCGCCAGCCTTTGCTCCTGGTCCTACAGTGGGCTCTATCGCTTCCGATAACCTGCAAGCGCAGCATCTTCTACCGAGGATGCCGATGCAGGGGATTCCAGCAAGTGCCCCAGGAAGAGAAGGTGTGCTTCTGGGCCAGCACCAGCAGCCGCAGCAGCGGCAGCAAGGAGTGCCAGCACTGAGTGCTCAACCAATGCTTGAAATATCGCTTGCGGACCAGCAGCAGCAGCAGCAGCAGCAGCAGCAGCAGCAGCAGCAGCAGCAGCAGCAGCAGCGGCGGCAGCCCGGGGCACCAGCATTGAGCTCTCAGCCAGTGGATGGGAGCCATGATTTACCCGGTAGCGTGCCGCTTGAAAATCTGCAGCTTGCCGTGCTGCTGCAGCACTACCATCAACAGCAGCAGCAGCAGCAGCAGCAGCAGCAGCAGCAGCAGCAGCAATTGCAGACGCACCTGCAGCAGCGCTTACACCTCGAGCAGCAACGTCAGTCGCAGCAACAAGCGATGCAGCAACTCCAGCAGCTGCAGATAGTGCCACAGCAACCACCGGAAAACTCCTTCGGCGTACCCAGATCACTATCCTCTTTACCAGTTATTACACCCAAAGCAGCCCTGTCAAGCCGGCTTATAGCCTCCGCACCCCTCTCCCCATGCTCAGCCACCTCCGCACCTGCCTCAGCCCTGTCGGCTGGTGCTGTCCCAATCTCAGGAGAGATTCTAAGGGGCAGGACCAATCCCTTCGGATCTCACTTGGTTGTTCCCTCATCCAGCAACTTACGCAAACGACCTTTCGAGATTACTCAATGTGGTGGTGCTGCTGCTGTTACTGCGGCTGCTGCCGCAGCTACTTGCGGTGGCGGTGCCAACTTCACTGCCTCTGCTGCTGCTGCTGCCGCTTCCGCTGCCGCAGCTGCTGCCACACATACCCACTCCCCACTCACCGGACCCCCTCAATCGACGCATGGCCTTACCTCATCCTTCTCGTTCCCTGTGTGGGGAACAATCTCCCCTTCCCTTGCGGTAGCGCCAACATCCACGGGTAGTGCTTCTAGCAGCGGCAGCAGCAGGGGGAGGGGCACTGGTGATGGTGGAAGGGAGAAGGCGTTTCCTGCCGTCCAGAGCAGCAGGAGCTTCTCTGTTGCCGTCAGATCCGCCAATACAGCCGCTCCTACAGTGCCTGACACAGCCCTTGCTACAGGCGCTCCGGCTCCTACTGCTCCTACTACATCCCCTGCTACAGACGCTCTGGCTCCTGCTACAGCCCCTGCTACAGGCGCTCTGGATCCTGCTACAGCCCCTTTTTCAGCCTCAGCAGCCACCGGTGCTTGGGGGCCTCGTGCTCTTTCGGATGCTGGTAACAGTGCTCCCCCTGGTAACCATGCTGCTGTTGCTGTTGTGGTTAACAGATCGGCTAGTGTGGGGGACATAGCTGTCGCCACTAGGAGTGGGCCTGCTGGTGGCACCGTAACGGTTACACTTCCCAGTGGTAACACCAGCAGCAGATCAGCCTCGTACTCTTCCCCCGCCAGCGTCCAGACCAACACCGCTGGCTTGGACAATGGCTTGGCTTTGCCGGACCAGGCTCGGCAGCAGAAGCTGCCACCGCAGCAGCAGCAGCAGCAGCAGCAGCAGCAGCCAGGGTCCTTGGAATGGCAGGAGCAGAGCAAGTGTGGAAGATTGGGACTGAGGCGGGTATTTTCTGACGATGGTTCCTGGCAAGTTCAGTCGTTCGGGGAGCAAGCAGTAGGAGAGCCGATCAGCGAGGAGTGTCCGACTGTAGGGGCAGGGACGCTGGGGGTGGGAGAGGAGGGGGAGAGTGAGGGTGGGAGTGGGAGAGCAGAGAGAAGGTTCATTATTGGAGAGAGGAGGGGGAGAAGGCAGACTGAGGGGGCTAGAGGTGCCTTTGAGCGGTTTCAAAGGAGCGTGGCGGGGCTGCTGGTGGAAGAAGAGGTAGCTGCTGGGGCTGCATCAGGGGCTGCATCAGGGGCTGCAGCTGGTGCTGCTGCTATGGCTGCAACGAAGGCTGCAGGGGAGGCTGCTGCTGGGGCTGGCTCGGAGCGGTTTCAAAGGAGCGTGGCTGGGCTGCTGGTTGAGGAAGAGGTAGTGGCCGTGGCTGCAGCAGGTGCGGCCGCAATTGCAGGAGGGGCAGCAGGAGGAGAAGCAGGAGGAGGGGTAGCGGGAGGAGGCGGGGCAGAAGCTATGGAGACGGGTAGTCCTGGCTCGTCCTGGGGCACTGGGTGCGGGATGGCTGACTCAGAGGAGCAGCGACGCGGCAAGAGGAGCAGGGTGCAGAGCCCACGGCTTCCGGATGTAGACATTGGGAAGGGCGGTGATGTGGGGGATAATTTGGGGGATGATGTGGGGGAGGATTTGGCTCTGTCTGCGGCTCTGCTGCACCACCTGAACCTGCAGCAGGAGGGGCATCAGGCGGGGCAGCAGGGGGGGTGGCGGCAGCAGCAGCAGCAGCAGCAGGGATTCCAGCAGGAGAAGTGGGGAGGTGTGATGCTTCCAAGCGTGGGCATTGACGTCAGCAGCGAGTGGCTGGCTAATGAGGAGCCGCCACGTGTCCCAACAGAAGCTAGAATCCACCTGGAGGAGGTATGGGCCTCATGGGGGCAGCAAGAGGAAGAGGAGGGATGGCCGGGAGTGCGAGAGGTAGTGGGAGTGCAGGGAATGCTGTGTGAGTATGCTATGCAGGGAGTGGGAGAAACGAAGGGAGTGCAAGATATGCAGGGAGTGAGAGAAACGAAGGGGATTGAGGATATGGTTAGAGTGCGAGAGACGAAAGGAGGGCATGTCGTGCATGGTGCACGAGGTGGGCTGAGAGCGCGTGGCCGGCAGGGAGCAGAGGGAATAGAGGCACATGGCATGGAGGGAGTGAGGAAGGCAGAACAGGTGCGGGAGGTTCAAAGCACGTGGGAGACACAGGAGGTCCTAGATCTGCAGGGGTGTGAGGAGAATCAGGAAAAGGCGCAGAGGATGCAGCCGATGCAGCAGCCGATGCAGCAGCATGAAATGGAGGGGCAAGCGTGCTCGGCCTGCATGCATGCCCATCATCCAGTGGGCCCCATCTTGGACCCCATATCCAACCAGCTAGGGACCCTCCTTCAACAGGGCATTCCTCTCCTACACGTCCCCCACCTCCCCTTCCTCCCAAAGCACTCCAGCCTGGCCCCCCTCTCTGCTGCGCCTGCCTCCCAGGCAGCCCACTGGCAAGCCAATCCGCCGATCAACTCTTATCCCCTGAATCCTCTTCCTGCCCTTACCCCTGGCGCTGCTGCTGCTGTTGCTGGTGCTGCTGCTGGTGGTGGTTTTGCAAGCATAGAGTCTGGGACTGAGGGGTATCCCCAAGAGTATCCGATGACTGGGCTGGCAGCCACCTCCCTTGCTCCTGCCTCCTCTGCTGCCGCTGCTGCCGCTCCCTCCTCCGCTGCCTCTGCTGCCGCTCCCTCCTCTGCTGCTTCTGCTGCCACTGCTGCCACCTCATTCCATCCGCCTGTCACTCTGCCCGCATTTTCAGCATCAGGATTCGGAGAAGGAAAATCGGGAAGCTCCCTCCCTACCGGTTTCCCTGCTGCATGTGCTTATAATGCGCGTGATCTTGTGGAGGTTGCTGCTGCTGGCGCGAACATGGAAGAGGCTGAGAGCAGGAAGCCTCCTCCTTCAGGGCACTCCATAGACGATCTGGTTACCATGTTACCAGGTGTCATCCCAGATATTCGCTCAAATGGGTTTCCGGACATAAGCGTAGCCACAGCAGAGCCAGAGGATCTGGACTTGGCACGTGTGATTCTGAGGCAGATCGAGCAGCAAGAGAGAAGCATGGCGGGAGGAAAAGGAGGAGAGGGTGGCTCGGGAAGTGGCTTGGGAATAGGTGCGGGGAGTGAGGCAGTCGTCGGCACGGCAGAGCAGCAGCACTTTCCAGCAGAGCAGAACCAGAGAATGCATGATCGCCTGGACAGGAGCAGCAGCCCCCCAAAGGACCTCAGCTCGAGAATCGCCGTGGCCGCGGCTCTGGCTATAGCAATTGCCTCTTCTAGACCGAACTCAACTTCTGGTAGCAGAGGAGAAGGGGAGGGAGGGACAGCTCAGAACCAAGCTGTCATAACTGCTGCTGCTGCTGCTTCAGCTCGTCAATCCATTCGCGACGCGGCTGCTGCGCCTTCTTCTGTTTCTTATCTGGCTGGTGGTGCTGCTGCATCTGCAGTGGACTTAGCTTCGCTGGGTCAGGCAGGAGAGGAGTGTGGTAACAAGCAACACCATGATGTGTTTGCGTTGCTCGGAGGAGGGGATACGGTGAGCATTAGTGACTTCATGCAAGACGGCCATGACAGATGAATGCGGTGACAAAAGCAGTTTACTCTATTTTCCAGACTTTGTCATTAAAACACTGATGCTGTTGTATTTACGAGTTTTAATTATTTAAATTTGTAAATCCAAGTAATCAATTGTCACTTATTTGTACAATATGGTATATTTTACGTCCCCCTTTCAGCTTTAGTTCCATGTCTCCTTGCATGGGAATTTTCACCATATTAAAAAAACTTACAAACATAACGCATTTAATACATACTCTTGAAATGATATAATATCATAAGGTATCTAAAGAAATTGTAGTGACTACTGAAATCAATGTTCCGAACACAGAAGATGAGAGTGATTTTGGATGAAAACGAGAGGCAATGCCGGCGCCACCCCCTGTGAGCGGCAAATGAATATGCCGGACGGCCAATTTTATGGGATCTCAATTCAAAGGGCAACTGGCTGACCGTCTGCTTGGCTGTCTGGAGATAACGCATAATTTTCCTGAGATTTGCCCGCCAAGTGGCATGTTTCCTTCTATGGAACGTTCTTGAATCTCGCTCGCACCTACAGTATTACGGAGACCAAAGCTCGCGTGAAGCTGCTCTGCTTCAGGTCAAATCAATCGCTTTTGCGATTTGGGCAGTCTCATGAAGATGTGAAAATCGCATTGATAGCCTAGTGGACCTGCCAACGGCTGGCAGGCAGCCTTTTGGTCAAAATGACGTGGCAGTGTTGTCTCCTTTCGTTGTTGGTCGAATGTTAAAATTCGCGGCTCAAAATGTTGTAGTGCGTCGCCCATAACTTCTAGTTTGTGGAGACTCCGTTTCTACATACAGCTTGATTCTCAGGCACACTCGTGCAGAGCATATACAAGGTCGCACTGAGGACAACAATCTAGACTCTAGTTAACGTGAGTCGCTCCTTGGACAATTTTCCAAAACTGCCAATTTCCCCTCATCGTGATCAGTTATCTCACACTGCCAGTGTAATCACCATTTGTCTTAGCGAAAAAAAATCATGTTTTCCCAAAAAAAATCCCCCCTAGAGCGTGTTCCTACGAGCCTCTTCCCAGGCAACCTCTTCCCAGACTCACGCGTGACCTTGAGAACGTGTTCCCAGGACCACTTTTCGGAATACTCCCGTTTCATATTTGCGTTCCACCGCTCTCAACCACATAAAACTAGCTGGCTTCGAAAAATTATTGTGCAGGTTCCCGCTTGTCTGAAAATCTGCTCGTCTCAAAGAGGTTTTGAAACACGCCCCTGAATCTCGGGAAGGCGAATCTCACTCCGCCCTTCGCGGAATCGCACTGAAACATAGAGCGTCAAAATTTGCGACACTGTAGCACGCGAGTCTGGGAAGAGGTTGCTTGGGAAGAGGCTGGTAGGAACACGCTCTTAGAGTAGATGGAGAACAGTGACAGTTAGTGGCTCAAGTATGGCAAACATCGGCTGATTCCCGGAGAGATGAGGAAAAGACAGCAGCAAGTCTGGTTTAATCAATTTACATATGCTGATGGTTAACTGTGGTGCTTGGTAAACATGAGTTGGTACAAGGGAAGTAAGGTATGCGTAGCGGCAAGGTTTGTACTAGTCCGCTCAACATGGCATTGGTGATGGTGACATTTTCCGCCAGTATGGTACTGTATTTCATTCTAGTGAATCAGATTATGTCCGCCCGCCACCCCCCCCAATCCCTCCCCTCCCCCCACCCTTGTCCTCCCCTGCACATTCATTTTAAGCCATTGTAAAAAACAGCAGTTGCAACAAGCAAATTAATAGCCTCCATACTGAAAGAAATTGAAAAGTGGTGCAGGAGACTAAGTATAGAATCTACAGACACAAATACTTGAAGTAGAAAGTAATACTGAAAGTACCTCCAGTAACAGCCACTATTAACAAGATGTAATACCAGAATTACTGTTACAGCCTTGTGATACTTCAAGACTTGAACAAGGATCTTTGCTGGAATGGTAGACCAGTAAGACAGCGGAAGTCTTAGAACTTGTAAGTGTTGACCAGAATTTACTCAAGAACAAGTTATTACTTGAACTCATACAAGCTACTCTTATACCTGCTAGAAGTACCTATTCGGTAATGTACCTGTTCAAAACTATTTGCGCTATGCGCTCTAATCGCTACTGAAAAGAGCGCGAATGTTCGCGTGACTGAAACGGCCTGCTGACGTAACCATCCAGACGAGCGCTATTTGCTGACGTCATTCTACGGATGCTAACTACATTGTAACTCGATAATATCTATCGGAACTACTTACAGAAATGCTTAAGTACGATTTTATCACAATACACATCACAAGCAGCAGCAGCAGCAGGACCACCAACATCATCCCAACCAGCAGGAGCAAAGGCACCAGTGCCAGAACCAGCAGGGCCAGTAGCAGCACCAGCAGCAACACCAGAGCAGTGCCATTAGCAGCACCAGCAGCAAAAACAAGCATGCTTAATGCTCACCTGCCATCAAACATGGACGTATCCTCCGATCCCCTCTCTCGTGCTCAACTTAGGACCAGGGCTTATGCTAGGTTTTTGGGGCGCTCGAACAGAACAGGCGGCCCTAAAGAGTTACCCTTAAAATAACGGCTCAAAAACAATTGTCCCTTAGAAAAAAGAGCTTGCACGGAAACCACTCGTATGACTCCAACAATACTTCCCTTGGGATACATAAATTGCAGAATGGCTGAGGCAGTCGGTAGGTAGGGATCTGCCAGGAAGTAAGGCCTCTATATACCACACGCGCAACAAAATCCTGAGGCATGACATTCTGACCTAGCGTTGGCATGGAAACCTAGAGAAACTTTGTCTCAGACAGATTCGAGGGTGGAAAATTGGTTTGCTTTATGAATACACAGGAGTGAGACAAGGCAGACATGGGCGAGTGAGAGGGAGGGAACAATATCACCACATATTGGGGAAAAATGACGGGTGTCAAATGACAAACCAAAGGACGGGGGGGAGGGACAGGGGTTGGGAGGGGGGGAGGGGGTAGAGTGGGGAAACGTGTACCCCTGAAGACTCTATGTACAGAAAGGGTGGCGCCCAAAAAATCCCTTCACTTTACGAGAGGGTTTTCACCAGACCCTTTGAGCTACAGGTTCTAGCCACAATCTGCCTTGAAAATCAGTAAAAAACGGGCATTTATCCTGTTAGCATAAGCCCTGCTCGGGACCCCCCTCTCCAGAAGAACCAGCAGTGCCAACACCAACGGTGCCAGCAGCAACAGCAGCAGAAGCAGCAGTGCCAGCAGCAGTGCCAGCAGCAACATAAGGAAGTATGCTGAGTGTTCATCTGCCACCAGGTATGGACGTCCCCTCAGGACCCCTCTCCCTCACTCAAATCACGCGTGTAGAACTGGGGATTGTTAGCAGCCAGGGGTGCAGCCAATTGCGCAAATCATGCATGCAGCCAAACATGCAGCCAAGCATGCAGGCAAGCATGTAGCCAAGCATGCAGGCAAGCATGCGGGCAAGCATGCAGCCAAGCATGCAGCCAAGCATGCAGGCAAGCATGCGGGCAAGCATGCAGCCAAGCCTGCAGGCAAGCATGCAGGCAAGCATGCAGCCAAGCATGCAGCCAAGCATGCCGCCACGCATGCAGGCAAGCATGCCGCCACGCATGCAGCCAAGCATGCAGGCAAGCATGCAGGCAAGCATTTAGGCAAGCATGCAGGCAAGCATGCAGGCAAGCATGCAGGAAAGCATTCAGCCAAGCATGCAGGCAAGCATGCATCCAAGCATGCAGGCAAGCATGCAGCCAAGCATGCAGCCAAGCATGCAGGCAAGCATGCAGCCAAGCATGCATCCAAGCATGCAGTCAAGCATGCAGCCGAGAATGCAGGCAAGAATGCAGCCGAGAATGCAGGCAAGCATGCAGCCGAGAATGCAGGCAAGCATGCAGCCGAGAATGCAGGCAAGCATGCAGCCAAGGATGCAGCCAAGCATGCAGCCAAGCATATAGGGAAGCATGCAGCCAAGCATGCAGCCAAGCATGCAGCCAAGCATGCAGCCAAGAATGCAGCCAAGCATACAGCCTAGCATGCAGCCAAGCATGCAGCCAAGCATGCAGCCAAGCATGCAGCCAAGCATGTAGCCAAGCATGCAGCCAAGCATGCAGCTAAGCACGCAGCCAAGCATGCAGCCAAGCATGCAGGCAAGCATGCAGCCAAGCATGCAGGCAAGCATGCATGCAAGCGCATATGCAAAAAAGCAACCAAGCATGCAGGCAAGCATGCCAACAAGAATGCAGCCAAGCACGCAGGCAAGAATGCAGCAAAGCACGCCGGCAAGAATGCAGCCAAGCACGCTGGCACGAATGCAGCCAAGCACGCCAGCAAGATTTCAGCCAAGCACGCCGGCAAGAATGCAGCCAAGCATGCCGGCAAGAATGCAGCCAAGCACGCCCACAAGAATGCAGCCAAGCACGCCGGCAAGAATGAAGTCAAGCAAGCAGCAAGAATGCAGCCAAACCGGCAAGAATGCAGCCAAGCATGCATGCAAGAATGCAGCCAAGCATGCCCGCAAGAATGCAGCCAAGCACGCCGGCAAGAATGCAGCCAAGACGCCGGCAAGAATGCAGCCAAGCACGCCGGCAAGAATGCAGCCAAGCACGCCGGCAAGAATGCAGCCAAGCACGCCGGCAAGAATGCAGCCAAGCACGCCGGCAAGAATGCAGCCAAGCACGCCGGCAAGAATGCAGCAAAGCACGCAGGCAATAATGCAGCCAAGCACGCTGGCAAGAATGCAGCCAAGCACGCCGGCAAGAATGCAGCCAAGCATGCATGCAAGAATGCAGTCAAGCATGCATGCAAGAATGCAGCCAAGCACGCATGCAAGAATGGAGCCAAGCATGCCGGCAAGAATGCAGCCAAGCATACCAGCAAGAATGCAGCCAAGCACGCCGGCAAGAATGCAGCAAAGCACGCCGGCAAAAATGCAGCCAAGCACGCCGGCAAGAATGCAGCCAAGCACGCAGGCAAGAATGCAGCCAAGCACGCAGGCAAGAATGTAGCCAAGCATGCATGCAAGAATGCAGCCAAGCACGCCAGCAAGAGTGCAGCCAAGCATGCATGCAAGCACGCAGGCAAGTATACAGGGAAGAATTCAGGCAAGAAGCAGCGTTCGCCCTTCACCTAAGCCAATAGCTCTCAAGTCCAGGCCTCTCCTCCCCCCCCCTTGGCCTTTAGCCAGCCCTTTCGTGCTCCCTACCGTTACAATAGGCACACGTGCCTGGGGTGGGATAACACCCTAGAGTCTATTGTTAGAAGACTAACTTAGCTAGGAAGGAAGGGGGCCATGAAATGGCTAGAGGTTTAGGAGCTAGGAGCTAGGAGAGAAAGTTGACGAGAGGAAAGAGAGAACTAAAAGAGAGAGGCATACAAGGAGGGAGTTGTACCCTCTACAGTAGAGGTCGATAACCTACCAAGCCAACAATTGTATAACAAATATAATTTAACATCTATCAACCAAGTTAAGACAGTATGATTTTGCACTGTGCATGTAAACGTTTAAATGCTGGTGACAGGGAAGATAGCTAATGTTTCGACGCGAAATTTCCTCCCAGGAATGTTTACCGGTAGATGGCCAAACATAGGACAAAAATGTTGGTTGTGAGACGAACCAAGTGGCATTCAACTAGATAAGAACTGATGAACCCCATACGCCTTTCTGAGCAAACTTTTTATAAGTTATTGTGGCTATGGTCAAGCCAGAGTAGCTAATCTGGTTATGGAACGCACAGTACTGGAACCATCCGAACAAAGCCATTCTTGTTGAGGAAAAGACAGATTCGGTTCGGGCGGCATTCGAGGGTGGTAACAGCGCCGGCAAGGAGGATTCGCACATCCCAGTCGCACTGTGGCCCAGAAGCAAGAATGTAGTTGCGAGCGCTCACTCCCTTCATGCCCAGCACCTCGGGCCAAATGGTCTTGCTGCAAACAATTCATGAGAGAAGGGGGATGAGCGAGGGGGCAAGCGGGAAAAACGGGGCTTTGGTGGAAGTTGCAAGCATTCACTGCCTTCATGCCCAGCGCCTCGGGCCTAACAGCCTTGCTGCAAACAGTTTACGAAAAAGGGGGAATGAACGAGTGGGTAAGGAGGGAAATCAGGGGTCTGGTACTTGCGAGCACTCACTCCCTTCAAGCCCAGCACCTCGGGCCAAACAGCCTTGCTGTAACCAGATAATCACAGAAACGGTAGAGAAAAGGTCGTGATTGAGCAGAAAGAGAAATGGATGCAGCTTGCGAGTGTATAGGTGGCGGAAGTCGAACAGAAAGAGAGGAACGGGGGGACAAGGGGAGCGTGTGGAGGGGAATGGCGGGGGGGGGGGTGGGGGAGGGGGGGGAGGGGGAGGGAGGGAGGAAAGGGGGAATGGGGAGAAGATGAGGAAAGGGGGGAACGCTTCTGTTTTGTTTCCCTGCGCCTTCCACGCACCTGCAAATGAGCTGAGATGGCCAGCTCGGTCGTGCGTTTGCCGTGGGAGGAAGAATGCCGCTGACGGTGAGCAGGAGCACGACCGGCAGAAGGTAGGCACGTCGAATCTTCATGACGGAAATCCCAGCTGCTCAGAGATGTTGTGTTGATCCAAGTTGATCCAAGAGCGGCGCCGCTGAGAAGAGGTTCTATTATGCTGATCGTCGTCAGTACTGGGTCTTTTTAGGGAGCACCTACGGCAGAAGAGGAAGGAGGGACGATGGAGGGACGACCCGACTCTAGGTTTGAGTCAAACACGAGGCTCCGACTCTCTTGAGGAGTGCCTCTCGCTCGAAAATGATTCCTGGCACTTTAGAACCGCTCTTGAGGCGCCTCAAAAGCACTTGAGGAGAGCCTCTTGCTCGAAAATGATTCTTGGCACTTCAAGAACCTCCTCTGGAGGACGGGGACGCAGTGAAATGAATTGAGAGCTTCTTTGAAGATCCCTCTTCACCCTCTCTCTGACTCGAGAGACGAAGTGGTACTAGTAGTACTCTTTGTGAGCCGCCTCAAGAACCTTTTGAACCTTGGAAAGAGAGTCACCGAGCACACGCGAGTTTGGATGATGAGGAAAGACGTCTGTTCACGGCGAAATACTTCACCCTGTGATTCGCCATGACTCATCGGCGCTGCCGTCTTTTCTCCGTCCCCTTCCGTCGCCGGGAGCGAGGCCTGACCGAGCATAGTACCCGTAGTATTCAATATGACTTATGAGTCGATTCAAAAGCAGGTCTCTCCCTAAGCCCCAGGGTATTCCGGAAGGGGACGGAATCGCCTCTGGATAACCCGTTAAGAGACGGAATCCCCCCAAAAAACCCATGATTCCAAGATGGCTTTTGAGTCGACTCAAAAGTCACGTCGGGAGCGAGGCCTGACCGAGCACATACCCATACTAATTATCCGAATTATTATGATAGGTCTGTGAGGAATGCGTGTTATGTAATAGCTAGCGTAAATACTCTTACATCGGAGGTGGGAATTTCTAACCCCGAGGCCCGCGAATCCACGGAAAATAAGGAGATAGCATCATGCTGTGAAGGACGGTAGTTGCAAATGGCCGACAACCCTTCACCGCCCTGCGGGGGAAACACGACGCTTCACTTGACATTCCGAGTTGCAAAAACGGACAGAAATAAAGACCTGACTTATCGCACAGTTTGTAGTTTCCAGCTCACGGATAAGTACAGTAACTGGCAGCGCTCTTGAACTAGAATCCAAGGTGCCGTACGGAACTATCTGAGGTACAGTGCGGCATTTCATGGCTGCTCATTGCTCAATGCTCATTCTGGGTGGTCCTCCTACAGTCGCAACGGTATCTAGGGCGGTTCCTGCACTTCGAGGAGACGAGGATTTTAGATTGGTGATTGGAGAGTGATTGGTTGGCAGAGGTTTCGAGAATCGACTGCATGGCTCACATTCAACGAATAGAGTCCAGCTGGCGAGGCGTCAATGGTTCCCCAAACGCCGGCAGACCATCCTATTCCATCCGACATAAGGGACTTGAGGCTCTAAACACAACCAAGAATGCACTGGGTAAGGGCATGTCACTAAAGTACGTCGCATTTCGATTGGCAAAGTTATTTTGCGTTACGGAACGGTCATAAAACAATCTAGAACGGTCCAGTATGGTATTTCGCCAAAACGGTTTTAGTGACATGGCCAAATGTGAACCATCTTACTACATTTGAAGTACAATTCGATATATTATACTTAGTAGGTTTCTTTCTTATGTTTGTTACTAATTTTGGTCACTGGCAAACCCCTTCCCAGACTCGCGCGCTACAGTGAAATGTAGTTTTGACTCGAATTGGTTCGATACGGCTCCATGTGGTGCGACACGAACTTGGGCTCCGCATTCTTGAGAATCACGAGTGAGGGACAAATCTGGGACGAGGTTGTAGGCACACTCCCTTACACGCCAAGCTTTGATATCATCATGACCTGAAGCAGCTCATACCGTACATTTCTGTGCAAGTTTATTGCTAGTCAGGAACAGGAACAGCAGTTCGCTCCGACACTCCCTTACACACCAACCAAGCTTTCTTATCACTACCGGAAGCAGCTTATGATGTACATTTCTGTGCGATTTCGTTGCTAGTTAGGAACAGGAGCAGCAGTTCGCTCCAACACATAAACATCCACTCGAATGCCCTGGATCAGAACAACGTAACACATATGGGAAGAAAGGGAACATCATATTTTTGAGGCGCCTCAAAAATAGAACAACATAACACATACGGGAAGAAAGGGAACATCATACTAACATCATCAAATGACCATGCGGCAACGGTATATTGGGAAGGGGGTGTGGGTGGGGGCGTGCAATGATGACGTACGTAATGGTGTGGGGTATTGGGAAGTAATCGTCGTAGTCCCTGCAGGCCTGCCCCACGTGCTCTATTCAACTCTTTTCTTGCACACCTCTTTTATTCCGCTCATCTCCCACAGACACAACGCCAAGACCTCAACAGCGCTCCTCACCCCCGACTCCTAGCCTCCTCACTCACCCCCCACATTCTCCCCCTCACCTCCATCTCAACAGCCATTCTCTGCTTCTCCCGCAGACACATGTGCCAGCCCTAAATGGAGTTCCTCACTCACACCCCACATCCTTTCCCTCAAACCCTACTCCTTGCATCCGACAAACCCCCCCCCCTTCTCCCCCCCCCCCCTCTCACCTCCATCTCCACAGCCATCCGCTGCTTCTCCCGCAGACACAACGCCAAGCCCTCAACAGCGTTCCTCACGCCCCTGCCCACCGCCATCAGCACCGCCACGCCTGTAGGATTAGAGAGGATTTGAGGACTTGAGAGGATTTGAGAGGATTGAAAGGATTTGAGAGGATTTGAGAGGTAGGGGGAGAATTTGGAGATCAACAAAGCAAGGCGGGAATAGCAAGATTGAGAGCGGATGCTCAGCAGATTTAGGAGACCAGAGTGGAGCTAGCAGCAAGTTCATTGAACTGAGGTGGGACTATTGAGGCGAGTTTTGAGGCGCCTAAAAAATCAGGGTGGAACTGGTTGGTCGTTCATGAACACAGGTGGGATTATCAAGGCGAGATTTTTTACGAAGGTTGGATTTTTTAGGCGAGATTACGGATGGAGCAATTGGAGGGAATGGAGTAGGATGAGAAAACGGATTGATAGGAGGTGAGTCGACTCAAAAGTCACCTCATTAACAGATCGAGAAAACGGAACGGAATTAGCATGTGTGAGGGTTCGGGGTTGGAAAAATGTGTACCAGTGCTTGGGGTCAGTACGCGGGCTACCTGAAAGATTTGGGGGCAGAATGGATATGTATTGGGGCAGAATATGCATCATGGGGGAAGAAGACGACTGCTTGGAGTACGAAGAGAAACATTGGCCAGAAAAACAGAAACAAACAAGATAAAAGATTGCATGCAATGGTTGTAGTCCAGTCCAATACAAAATAGTACAGATGAGGATATGCTATCACGCTTGCTCAGAGTTCAAACAGGCTGCAATAGAACATGCAGTACAGTAGTTACTCATCCAGTAATTCCCCCCCCCCCCCTCATCCCCCGAGGTGACTTTTGAGTCGACTCAAAAGTCAAATCTTAACATGCAGTACAGTGGTTACTCAACAAGTACAAGGTGACGTTTGAGTCGACTCAAAAGTCACCTCTTAACATGCAGTACAGTGGTTACTCATCCAGTCCCCCTCGTCTCCCCTCCTCACCCACAGACCTGCCGAATCGCTGCAGCCTGCAGGATAGAGCTACTCCCTCCCCCCCCCTGCCCCTTCCCCCGCCCAGTCCCCTTTCCTTTGCCACTCCCCCCTCATCCCCCCTTCTCACACATAGACCTGCCGAATCACTGCAGCACAGAGCTACCCTACCCCCCGTTTTCCTCCGCTTCCCCCCTCCTTTCCCCCCCAGTCCCACTTCTTTTGCTGATTCTTCCCCCCTCGTCCCCCCTCCTCACACACACACCTGCCAAATCACTGCAGGATAGAGCTACTCCCATACCTTCTCCCCCCTCCCCACACACACACGCACACCCCTCTCCCCGCCTTGCCCCTTGCCCCACCCAGTCCCCCTTCCATTGCCACTTCCCCCGCATCCCCCTTCCTCACACACAGACCTGCCGAATCACTGCAGCACAGAGTCGCTCCCATACACCCCCCCACACCCCCCCACACCCCCCCCCCCCACACACACCTCTTCCCCCCCATCCCTCTTGCTCACGCACACACCTACCGAATCACTGCAGGACATAGCTACCCTACCTCCCGTTTCCCTCCGCTTCCCTTTTTCCTCTGCTGAATCTTCCCCCCTCACCCCCCCTCCTCACACACACCCCTCTTCCCCCCTTTGCCACTTCCCCCTCACCCCCCTCCTCACACACACACCTCTTCCCCCCTTTGCCACTTCCCCCTCACCCCCCCTCCTCACACACACACCTCTTCCCCCCTTTGCCACTTCCCCATCATCCCCCCTCCTCACACACACACCTGCCGAATCACCGCAGGACAGAGTCGCTCCCTCATCTTGAAGTTTCCTGGAAGCAGCGGATGCAGGGCATGGAGAGCACAGGCAGCAGGAGGGAGGGAGAGAGGGAGAGGCGGGAGGTTGAGCATGGGAGGGAGGATGAGAGGAGGAGAGGAGGAGAGGAGAGGAGGAGGAGGGGAAAGAGGGGATAGATAAACCACCATCCTGCAGTGCTCCTGCTTCACTCAGCGAGTTCATCCCCTCTTTCCCCTGTCTCACCAAGCAGGTTCACAGGGGCAAGGCAGAGGCTCTGTGTCTATCACCTCAACCTGGAAGAAAGCAGCTGACTCTTCTGTATAATCCACTGCACCGCACTCAACTGCATCTCACTCACCGCATCTGACAGCAAAGGGCATGTCGCAGCGCAGAGCACTCGACCCACACATTGACAGCCGAGCCAGCTAAGCACCTCCTTCACCACCTTTCACCACATTCCACCGCACTGCACTTCCTTCCACAGCACTCAGCGCATCTGACCCCAAAGGGCATGTCACAGAGCCCCCGATCCACGCTGTCAGACTGCAAGGGAAGGGCAGAGGCACATTCCCAACCCAGAACCGAGCTGCCACCCTTCTTCACCTCTCTCCACCGCACTGCACCTCACCGGACTCACCGCATCTGACCCCAAAGGGCATGTCACAGAGCCCCCGATCCACACCGCCATTCGCAGCGGCAGGGCAGATTGAGGCACTCGGACTCATCCCCCGAAACCTTATTGTACCGCACAGCACTCACCGCATCTGACCCCAAAGGACATGTCACAGAGCCCCCGACCCACACAGCCAGTTCACAGGGGCAGCAGATAGAGGCACTCAGTCTCATCTCCAGGCACCGCATAGCACCGCCCTCACCGCATCTGACCCCAAAAGGCATGTCGCAGAGCACCCGATCCACACAGCCAGTTCGTAGGGGCAGGGCAGAGGCGTCCCACACGAGCGAATCACAACCTGCCACGTGGCTCCTTTCTGATGCATCCCCATTCGCCCCCGCTGCTCTCGAGACACTCTGACTGGCCGCCGCATCTCTCAAGGCAATATTATTGGTTGCAGCAGCATCAACGGCTGACAAGTCTTTATCTCCCCCAAATGCACTGATTCGGCTTTGCAGCCAATCAGCAGCTTCTAGGGGGAAAGTCCCACAGCCACTCCTGAGGGGATGTGAAGGGGTGCAGTGCGGTGTGAAGGGGTGCAGAGTGGAATAAGGGAATCATTTGCAGCAGCATCAACAGCCGGAGCATCCTTATCCCCTCCAAATGCACTGATTCGGCTTTGCAGCCAATCAGCAGCCTCCATAGGAAAAGTCCCACAGCCACACCTGAAGGAGGGATGAACAGGTGCAGTGCGGTGTGAAGGGGTGTGAAGGGATGCGACCTAATGCATCAACTGCAGGAGCATCCTTGTCCCCTCGGAATACACTGATTGGGGGTTGGAGCCAATCAGCAGCCTCCAGAGGGAAAGTCCCACAGCCACACCTGAAGGGACGCAAATGGGTGCAGTGCGGTGTGAAGGGGTGTAAGAGGGTGTGTGAGGGGTTGCAAATGGGTGCAATGCGGTGTGAAGGGTGCAGCCGGCCAGCAGCTTCTGGAGGGAGAGTTCCAATCCATAGCCACACTTGAAACGAGCACAAAGTAGCCGATTTGAATGTTTTAGACGCATGGATGGAGCATGATGTGATACGATAGCGAGCACAGCTCATTAAAGCCCGACCGGCAGGTTGCAACTCCTTTTTTCTCAAGGTGCTGCATCTTGAGCTCCCAGTAACCGAGCAGCCAGCGTCAGGCTGCAAGGAGCTTGCAATGGGTTTCGTCGGCCTGGCAGGGCTGGCAGGACTGGCTGGACTCTCGGAACCTGGCAGTGATGCACCCCTGCCAAGTACCGAAGGGAGCACGGGGACTGAGTGGGTTTGGGGTAGAAACCTTAGTGTTTATTTTAAATCTCGGGCGGGTACACCCGAAAAATGTATTGTAGTCCTGTGCTTCGTACCACGAATCCGCGTGATGCGTTTACCGATGAACGTCAAAATGTAACATCTGAATTTTGTTTCTGAACTGTTCTGCCCGTATTTTTCCTGACGAAAAAAACCAACCAGCTCACGCCCTGCAAACTTGACAGAGCTGGCGAGGCTGCTCAATGCGGAAGGGAGAGGCGCGAAAGTTGACAGCCCTGCCAAGTTGTGAAGATGCTTTCTCGCGCGAAACTGAAGCTCGCTCAGCGAAGCCCAACCTTCGCTTGAAATTTTTGCCTCGCTTTATTTTCGTTAGCCAATCACAGCTTGCCGCCCCAGCTACCTCAACCGTGCCAATATGCAACCTGCCGGTCAGGCTTTATCGAGTACAGGGCCTTACATGGGGTCAAGCACAATGTGGCCTGTTTGGATGTGTGCCAATTGCAGGAGCGCGAAAGCCGTGCTGGGTAAGGGAAATATCGAGGGGGACGGAAAAGAACAGGGGGAGAGAGAGATAAAAAAGGGAGAGAGAGAGAGAGAGAGAGAGAAAAGGGGGAGATTTTGGAAGGCTTGGCACTGACGGGGGGAATGCAAAAGTGGGAGATAGCAGACTCAAAAATCAACTCGTTACAATGTCATACAATAGTGGAAGAAATGTGCCAGGAGGCTGGGTTGGACTAACAGACAAACCTGGGTTAAGTAGGTTAGTTTTGAGATGTCTCAAAACCAAACTATTTAATTGTTACAATATTGCACAAAAGTCGAAACTAAGTGCAAGGAGGTTGGGGTGGGCTAACAGACTAACCTGGGTTTGAGAGAGGTGGGAACGAGGGCCCTGCGGTAGGGGCGTGTGGAGTAGAGCTGAGAGCACGTGGGGCAGAGGTTGTGGGAGAAAGAAGAACAAACGGAGAAAAAAATCAACGGAGAAAAAGTCATCAGGAACGGACTGGGATCAAAGCAGCGAATACGGTGGTGCCAGTGCATGGGGAACTACGTGACTTTTGAGTCGACTCAAAGGTGGCAGTGCTGTGGGAACTACGTGATTTTTGAGTCGACTCAAAGGTGGCAGTGCCGTGGGAACTACGTGACTTTTGAGTAGAGCTGAGCTGCGAGCGCGTGGTGCAGAGGAAAGTGGGAGCAACGGGTGGGGCAGAGATGACTTTTGAGTCGACTCTAAGGAAAGTGACTTTTGCTGGGGCAACGGGTGGGGCAGAGGAAAGTGGGAGCAACGGGTGGGGCAGAGAAAAAAGGAAGCGCAACGAGGGGCAGATGAAGTGAAGCTACAAACGAAGCAAGGCTATTAAAAAAGGAGGCTAACACACAACAAGCATCACGCATTGTACCTGTCTCTCTGAATTGTGCGATCTTGCTTGTATTGCGATCTTGTCCCCTATTCCGCGCTTGACCTTCTTCTTGCATTCGCCACTCCCTCCCTCCTCCCGTCTGTCTTCACCCTTGCGTTCCTCCTTCCTGCCCTCCTTAGGTTGCTCTGTCTGCTGCTCCTCCAGGCCCTCCTTGCTCGCTTTGGGAGCATCACTGCATGCAACGTTCCAAGTCATCGGGCAACCAGTAGCAACAAGGAGGAGAAGAGAGTGGTGACCCGGAAGAGGGATACGGAGAGGAGTTTTGAGACGTCTCAAAACTAAACTACTTACTGTCAGGTAGCTGTCAAGAAAAACTAGACTACTTACTGTGAGGTAACTGTCAAGAAAAACTAAACTACTTACTGTCTTGAGACTTCTCAAAACTAAACTACTTACTGTCTTGAGACTTCTCAAAACTAAACTACTTACTGTCTTGAGACTTCTCAAAACTAAACTACTTACTGTCTTGAGACTTCTCAAAACTAAACTACTTACTGTCAGGTAGCTGTCAAGGGTGACACGGAAGACTCAACTCAACTTTTGAGCCGACTCAAGTTTTGAGCCGACTCAAAAGCAGGTTCCGAGTCGTCAGGCAACCATCAACAAGAAGGAAATGGAAGGTGGGATGAAAGAGAGATACAGAGAGGAAAGGCAAGGTGGTCAAGGAACAAAAATCAATTGGAGTAAGGGGGTGAACGACAGGAACCACCACCGACTGCATTTGAGGTTGCTTTTGAGGCGCCTCAAAAGGAGTTAACGACAGGAACCACCACCGACTGCATTTGAGGTAGAGTTGATTGAAATCGAGTAAGCAGAGAATGTGCACAAGAAGAGATCGGAAGAGAGGCCACAGGGGAGGCTTGTTTTGAGCCGCCTCAAAACTAGAGGCAGGGAAGGCAGGCAGGAGGATATGCAGCAAGGGAGGGAGGGGAGGAGGGATGGATGGAGGGAGGGGAGGAGGGATGTAGGGAGGGAGGGGAGGAGGGATGGAGGGAGGGAGGGGAGGGGGGGCAGGAAGAGAGTGACAGAGAGATGGAGGGAGGAAAAGAGGGAAAGGAAGGAGGAATGCATCAAAGGCGGGTGCAAGGGGAGACGGAAGGCAGGGAAATGACTCTCTCACGCATAAATGAGTGCGAGGAGGAGTGTGAGATGGGAGTCCCGAATCCAAGCCAGGACCTCCACTGGGGAGGGGATAAGGCGATGATGGGCCCAAGAGGGGAGGGAGGGAGGATGTGAAGCATGAGGCGCAAGGAATGGCCCGAGTGCGGGGAGGAGGGGGAGTGTGAGATGGGAGTCCCGAATCCAAGCCAGAACCTCCACTGGGAGGGGATAAGGCGAGAGAGAGGGCAAGATGGGAGGGAGGGAGCATGAGAAGTATGAGGCAAGAAGTGCACCATCGACGAGTGCGAGGAGGAGAGTGAGGTGGGATCACGGGAGTTTTTGGATCCAAGCAAGGGCCTGCACTGAGCGGGAATAAGGTGGCAAAGAGGGGAACGAGGGAGGATTGATGAGTGCGAGGAGTGTGAGGTGGGATCCTGAGAGTCCCGGATCCAAGCTCGGACTTCCACTGGGGTGGGGGCAGGGCGACAAAGGGGGGAGAATGGGAAGCATGAGGCACGGTATCTCTTGCACGAGGTGACTTTTTAAATTCTGAAAAAAAATACAGGGGAGGGGGTAGCAGGGTGACAAAGAGGGGGAAAGGGGAAGCATGGGGCACGGAATCTCATCTCATGCACAGATCAGTGCAAGGAGCTGACTTTTGAGTCCGACTCAAACAACAAAGAGGGTACGAGGGGAAGTACGAGGCACAGAATCTCATGCGCAGATGCGTGCGAGGGGCTGAGTAAGAGGGGAGAGGAAGTGAGAGTCCAAGATCTTGGACTCTCACTTGCTATTCTGAGGAGAGCAATTGCTCTTCTGGGGAGAGCGAATGAGGGGAGAGGAGCGAGAGGAGAGAGGCATGCAGGACAGATTAAGAATGAGAGGTGGACAGATTAAAGCAGGGGCGACAGAATGACGCAAAGTGAGGAGGAGAATGAGAGGTGGACTTCCCAAATTGGAGGGGTCTGTTTTTTAGGCGCCTCAAAAACAGACCCAAGCAGGGGCGACAGAATGACGCAAAGTGAGGAGAATGAGAGGTGGACTTTCCAAATTGGAGGGTGTTGTAGGGGGTTAGGGGGGAGGGGGGGGGAGGAAGGAAGGAGAGGGGGGAGACGGGGGGGAGGGAGTGGGGGAGGAGGGGAAGGAGCTGTGTCCCTTTCATAACCCACACATCTTGTTTGGTATACTTCTTGCATTTATGCTCTTGGTAAAGGGCCTCGACTCACGCTCAAACTGTCTGAGGCTGACTGTCCAGGCAGGGAAGATTCCAAGAAGCCCCTCTCCCAATGCACCTGAGAGGAGAATCAAAGAGCGGATATAGAGGAGGACCAGCAGCAGCATGAGCTGATATTCTAGGCGGAATTGATATCCAAAACGCAAGAGAATCAGATTGTGAAAGGTGTGTGCAGCATGCATAAATGGATCAGATTTTTTAGGCGCCTCAAAAATCAGATGGAGAAAGGAGGCGTGCGCAGTATATATAAACGGATCAGATTTCAATCATTCTTGAAAGAGCGGGGAAAAGAAAAAGGACCATTTTTCAAGCGCACCACCATGAATGGTTTATAAGTGCACCATAAAGAAAAAAAACTTTAAGCAGCGAGTTGTTTTGCTCCACCAGATAAAGTAAGACGTTTTGAACCAGCAGTCTCTGGGGAAGTGAACCCGTGTTTGCTCTACGTCATGCACACACGGTGGCAGGTCACTTTAAACTGCACACCACTCGTGCCTTGCCTTGCCTTGCCTTGCCCTGCCCACCCTAGCCTGCGGCTCTCACTCGCAATTGTGCCATGCCAAGTAACTCCACTTCACACGTACCTGCAGGCTGCAGCCTCATGGATCATACATACCTCGACCCAACCCAACCTGTGATTCCCACTCACTTGTGTGCTACTGAGTAAGCAAACTTCACACGCACCAGCAGCCTCGGGGGAGGTGAACCCGTGCTTGGTCTGCTTCAAGCACACACGGTGGCAGGTCACTTGAAACTGCAGCCCACTGGGCCTCCAACCTAACCTGTGCCTGTGCTCTTGATTGCCCAGCAGCAAGGGCTAAGCAACTTCACACGTTCGTACCTGCAGCCTCGGGGGAGGTGAACCCGTGCTTGGTCTGCTTCATGCACACACGGTGGCATGTCACCCGGAATGGTAGACCATTCAGCTCTTGGCTGCCTGCTGCTGCTGCCGCTCCTCTGCCTCGCTCAGGTGCTCCCTCAGATGCTCCCTCAGGTGCTGTTTCAGGTAGTGCTGCTGCATCATTGGACTCTGCTGCTCCATTCGTTACTGTCACACCCACTCCTGTCAAGCTCTTTCCTGTCACAACCTCTCCCTCCTGCCTCAGCCTCTTTCTATCAGGCGATGGTTGTTGCTCATTCACTGCTGACGTCATCACGTGACTGATCCCTGCTGCTGATGACGTCATCCCATCCTCCCTGCAGTGCTGCCATTGGTGGAAGAGCAAGAGGGCCGGCTGCCAATCTATCTGCTGACGTGGCAGGTGAGGATAGGGCGGGTGGGAATGAGGGGGGGGGGAGTTGGAATAGAGCACAAGATTAAGCAGCAGTCATGGCATGCCACGGCTGAGCTGGCGTGGCTGAGCTGGCGTTGCTGAGCTGGCATGGCTGAGCTGGCAGCACGATCAACCAAAGCATGCCAAGTCATACCTGAGCTGGCAGTGCTGCGAGGTAATCGATGGCCTCCTTGCCATGTGGCACGTCCTGATTGGCCCAGCAGCAGAGGGGTGAGCAGAGGAGGAGTGAGCAAGCAAAGGGTGGTTGAGCAGAGCACAGGGTTGAGAAGAGGAGGTGAGCAGAGGAGGAGTGAGCAAGCAAAGGGTGGTTGAGCAGAGCACAGGGTTGAGAAGAGGAGGTGAGCAGAAGGTGGGGGCGAGCAGCAGAGGGGCGAGAGGAGGAGGATTGCGCAGAGGGGGGGTGTGCAGAGGAAGGGCGAGCAGGGGAGGGGTAAATTGCAATGAGTAAAGAGAAAGGAGAGGAAGGGGGCTTGGATTGAAACCAGGGCAGGTGGAGTGGGAGGAGCGGACAAGAGCGTGCGAAGGGACAGGATGGGGTGGGGGCAGGGCAAGCAGGTAAGCAAGGAAAGTGGCGCATGGATGAATGTACTACTTGGCAATGAAACAAGAGTGGGCAATTTGGGCTTACAACGCACCTCCCTTGTGGCTACAAACGCGTACAGATTGTCCACTGCCCTCAGCTGCTGCAGCTCCTGCGGCCAGGGAGGCCAGAGGCAGGGAGGGACATGCAAGAGAGGCAGGGACAGGCAAGAGAGGCAGGGAGTTAAGAATATTGTGCTACTTCTTTTATTCTAAAAAACCGCTGCAAGAGAATCAGGAGTTTCAGAATTTTGTGCAAGAAAATATTTGAGAACAAGAAAGATCTCAAAGGGACAGGCACGAGATTCAGGGTTTTCAGAATGCGAACTGAGCCCAAATTTCAAAAAAAAAAATAAATAAATCACCTCCTTTCTACCCTCTCTTTCATCCCTCCCCTTCTCCTCTTCCTTATAGATCCGTTCATCTGTTCATTCGGTCTGCTCCCCTGGAAAATCCGCTCACCCACCTCACCCACCTCACCCACCTCACCCTCCTCACCCACCTCACCCACCTCACCCTCCTCACCCTCCTCACCCTACCCTCCTCACCCTCCTCACCCCTCCTCACCCACCTCACCCACCTCACCCACCTCCCCCACCTCGCCCACCTCGCCCACCTCGCCCACCTCGCCCACCTCGCCCACCTCGCCCACCTCGCCCTCCTCGCCCACCTCGCCCACCTCGCCCACCTCGCCCACCTCGCCCACCTCGCCCACCTCACCCACCTCGCCCACCTCACCCACCTCATCCACCTCATCCACCTCACCCACCTCACCCACCTCACCCACCTCGCCCACCTCACCCACCTCCCCCACCTCGCCCACCTCGCCCACCTCGCCCACCTCGCCCACCTCGCCCACCTCGCCCACCTCGCCCTCCTCGCCCACCTCGCCCACCTCGCCCACCTCGCCCACCTCGCCCACCTCGCCCACCTCACCCACCTCACCCACCTCCCCCACCTCGCCCACCTCGCCCACCTCGCCCACCTCGCCCACCTCGCCCACCTCGCCCACCTCGCCCACCTCGCCCACCTCGCCCACCTCGCCCACCTCGCCCACCTCGCCCCCACCTCACCCACCTCGCCCACCTCACCCACCTCACCCACCTCATCCACCTCACCCACCTCGCCCACCTCGCCCACCTCGCCCACCTCGCCCACCTCACCCACCTCGCCCACCTCACCCACCTCCCCCACCTCGCCCACCTCGCCCACCTCGCCCACCTCGCCCACCTCGCCCACCTCGCCCACCTCGCCCTCCTCGCCCACCTCGCCCACCTCGCCCACCTCGCCCACCTCGCCCACCTCGCCCACCTCACCCACCTCATTCACCTCACCCACCTCACCCACCTCACCCACCTCACCCACCTCACCCACCTCACCCACCTCGCCCACCTCGCCCACCTCGCCCACCTCGCCCACCTCACCCACCTCACCCACCTCACCCACCTCACCCACCTCACCCACCTCGCCCACCTCGCCCACCTCGCCCACCTCGCCCACCTCGCCCACCTCGCCCTCCCTCGCCCACCTCGCCCACCTCGCCCACCTCGCCCACCTCGCCCACCTCACCCACCTCGCCCACCTCACCCACCTCACCCACCTCATCCACCTCACCCACCTCGCCCACCTCGCCCACCTCGCCCACCTCGCCCACCTCACCCACCTCGCCCACCTCACCCACCTCCCCCACCTCGCCCACCTCGCCCACCTCGCCCACCTCGCCCACCTCGCCCACCTCGCCCACCTCGCCCTCCTCGCCCACCTCGCCCACCTCGCCCACCTCGCCCACCTCGCCCACCTCGCCCACCTCACCCACCTCATTCACCTCACCCACCTCACCCACCTCACCCACCTCACCCACCTCACCCACCTCACCCACCTCGCCCACCTCGCCCACCTCGCCCACCTCGCCCACCTCACCCACCTCACCCACCTCACCCACCTCACCCACCTCACCCACCTCGCCCACCTCGCCCACCTCGCCCACCTCGCCCACCTCACCCACCTCACCCACCTCCCCCACCTCACCCACCTCACCCACCTCACCCACCTCACCCACCTCGCCCACCTCGCCCACCTCGCCCACCTCGCCCACCTCGCCCACCTCACCCACCTCACCCACCTCACCCACCTCACCCACCTCACCCACCTCGCCCACCTCGCCCACCTCGCCCACCTCGCCCACCTCGCCCACCTCGCCCTCCTCGCCCACCTCGCCCACCTCGCCCACCTCGCCCACCTCGCCCACCTCGCCCACCTCACCCACCTCGCCCACCTCACCCACCTCACCCACCTCATCCACCTCACCCACCTCGCCCACCTCACCCACCTCACCCACCTCATCCACCTCACCCACCTCGCCCACCTCGCCCACCTCGCCCACCTCGCCCACCTCGCCCACCTCGCCCACCTCACCCACCTCACCCACCTCACCCACCTCACCCACCTCGCCCACCTCGCCCACCTCGCCCACCTCGCCCACCTCCCACCTCGCCTCCTCGCCCACCTCGCCCCCTCGCCCTCCTCGCCCACCTCGCCCACCTCGCCCACCTCGCCCACCTCGCCCACCTCGCCCACCTCACCCACCTCATTCACCTCACCCACCTCACCCACCTCACCCACCTCACCCACCTCACCCACCTCACCCACCTCGCCCACCTCGCCCACCTCGCCCACCTCGCCCACCTCACCCACCTCACCCACCTCACCCACCTCACCCACCTCACCCACCTCGCCCACCTCGCCCACCTCGCCCACCTCGCCCACCTCGCCCACCTCGCCCTCCTCGCCCACCTCGCCCACCTCGCCCACCTCGCCCACCTCGCCCACCTCGCCCACCTCACCCACCTCGCCCACCTCACCCACCTCACCCACCTCATCCACCTCACCCACCTCGCCCACCTCGCCCACCTCGCCCACCTCGCCCACCTCACCCACCTCGCCCACCTCACCCACCTCCCCCACCTCGCCCACCTCGCCCACCTCGCCCACCTCGCCCACCTCGCCCACCTCGCCCACCTCGCCCACCTCGCCCACCTCGCCCTCCTCGCCCACCTCGCCCACCTCGCCCACCTCGCCCACCTCGCCCACCTCGCCCACCTCACCCACCTCGCCCACCTCACCCACCTCACCCACCTCATCCACCTCACCCACCTCGCCCACCTCACCCACCTCACCCACCTCATCCACCTCACCCACCTCGCCCACCTCGCCCACCTCGCCCACCTCGCCCACCTCGCCCACCTCGCCCACCTCACCCACCTCACCCACCTCACCCACCTCACCCACCTCGCCCACCTCGCCCACCTCGCCCACCTCGCCCACCTCGCCCACCTCGCCCTCCTCGCCCACCTCGCCCACCTCGCCCACCTCGCCACCTCGCCCACCTCGCCCACCTCACCCACCTCACCCACCTCCCCCACCTCACCCACCTCACCCACCTCACCCACCTCACCCACCTCACCCACCTCGCCCACCTCGCCCACCTCGCCCACCTCGCCCACCTCACCCACCTCACCCACCTCACCCACCTCGCCCACCTCACCCACCTCACCCACCTCACCCACCTCACCCACCTCACCCACCTCGCCCACCTCGCCCACCTCGCCCACCTCGCCCACCTCGCCCACCTCGCCCTCCTCGCCCACCTCGCCCACCTCGCCCACCTCACCCACCTCACCCACCTCCCCCACCTCACCCACCTCACCCACCTCACCCACCTCACCCACCTCACCCACCTCGCCCACCTCGCCCACCTCGCCCACCTCGCCCACCTCACCCACCTCACCCACCTCACCCACCTCGCCCACCTCACCCACCTCACCCACCTCATCCACCTCACCCACCTCGCCCACCTCGCCCACCTCCCCCACCTCGCCCACCTCGCCCACCTCGCCCACCTCAGCAGCAGCATCAGTGCTGAACCTCAACCCGCCATGCACCGTGCTGATGTCAGTAACCCTCTTCCGAACCCCACCCCACCCCACCGCTCCCCCCTCCACCCGATTTCCCCTTCCCTCCACTTCCACTAGGGAACGCTCACCCACCTCAGCAGCAGCACCAGTCGTGAATCTGCTTTTGAGTCGCCCCAAAAGCAGCCCCCTTTCCCTTCCCCCCACCTTCACTAGGGAGCGCTCACCTCAGCAGCAGAGTCTATTTTTGAGGCGGATAAAAAAGGGAGCGCTCACCTCAGCAGCAGAGTTTATTTTTGAGGCGGATAAAAAAGGGAGCGCTCACCTCAGCAGCAGAGTTTATTTTTGAGGCGGATAAAAAAGGGAGCGCTCACCTCAGCAGCAGAGTTTATTTTTGAGGCGGATAAAAAAGGGAGCGCTCACCTCAGCAGCAGAGTCTATTTTTGAGGCGGATAAAAAAGGGAGCGCTCACCTCAGCAGCAGAGTCTATTTTTGAGGCGGATAAAAAAGGGAGCGCTCACCTCAGCAGCAGAGTCTATTTTTGAGGCGGATAAAAAAGGGAGCGCTCACCTCAGCAGCAGAGTCTATTTTTGAGGCGGATAAAAAAGGGAGCGCTCACCTCAGCAGCAGAGTCTATTTTTGAGGCGGATAAAAAAGGGAGCGCTCACCTCAGCAGCAGAGTCTATTTTTGAGGCGGATAAAAAAGGGAGCGCTCACCTCAGCAGCAGAGTCTATTTTTGAGGCGGATAAAAAAGGGAGCGCTCACCTCAGCAGCAGAGTCTATTTTTGAGGCGGATAAAAAAGGGAGCGCTCACCTCAGCAGCAGAGTCTATTTTTGAGGCGGATAAAAAAGGGAGCGCTCACCTCAGCAGCAGAGTCTATTTTTGAGGCGGATAAAAAAGGGAGCGCTCACCTCAGCAGCTGCATCCGTGCTGAACCTCACCCCGCCGTGCACCGTGCTGACGTCACTCACCCTCCCCGCCAGCCTGGCAGACAGCTGGAGCAGAAGAAGACGACACGCCGCGGGGTTTAGGGGGTGGGGTGGGGTTGGGAGGCGGGGCTGTGAATGTGAGGGAGATAAGCATGAGCAGAGGGGGGGGGAAGTGGCGGGGAGGAAGGGGGGGAGGGGGGCTGGGAGGGGTTGTTTGAGCAGCGGTGACTTTTGAGTCGAGTCAGAAGGTTCAACCCAAACATTCGAAGGCCCCGTGCTATGTTTAAACATGTTTAGCGACATTCTATTTGCAATGTTGCTAAACATGTTTGAACGTGGTATACGGACCAAACTTTTTTGGGATGTTGAGGGGGGGATGTTACAACAAATAACAGGTGAGGAGCAGGGAGAAATCAAGGGGAAGACTAAGCTGCTGTCCTTAGGAGGAGTTGCGCATTGTGAGACAGCTTCCTGATAAGCGCTAGGGTTTAGTATGAAACGGTCAACTTGAATGCGGAAACCCAACTGCGGAGAGGAGCGGCTGGACCAACCAGCGGCAGCTGCACCTACACTGGTGTGCGTTTTTTACCTAAACCCTATACATGAGCCACCGCCTGGCATAGCAGCACCAGCGCGGCCTCTCACCTCATCCCGCAGCGCGAATTCAAGTCCCGCTGATGTCGTTCCGAGGTACGCCATGGCCTGGCCAATAGTCCAGAAATGTGATGCTGAAGTGATGCAGCAAAGGTTTTAAAGTTCTGTAAATTGTTTTTCTTCATTGTTCGGCGGTTCTGTGGTGCAGTGGTTAGCACTCTGGACTTTGAATCCAGCAACCTGGGTTCGAATCCCGGCAGAACCTATACTCGGGGTTTTAGAACCTCTTGGACTCCTCGCATTTCCTCCACTTTCTTGGCTTCTCGCTAAGTGTTGCCATGATCCCGCACTTAGCTACGAGGAACGCACCCTTCAAGAAAGAGTCCCTTCGACTCAAACCCGGCGATCAGGCGAATCTTGCCTCTCAGCTTCCAGTCTCATTTGCCTCATTCCGGAAGACCCGAAGTTCCGAAATAGGGGCACGGGAAGACAGGACGCTGGTGTGACACGAGCCTGGAATGCGCCTTGATGTTGCTGCTGACATTTCTGCTAAACACCTCCCTAGATCGCGGAATCCCGCTCTTCCTCTTCCTACACTCGCGGAGATTCGTGTTTTTGCGGAGTCTGCCATTGATCCTGACAGATCACGTGTCGCTAGGCTAGACTATGTAGTTTAGAAGACATTAACTCCTTCAAGGCGTATCTTTGGCTCTTTGAACTTTCTATCCTGGTTCTGATTGGCTGAAGACCTGTATAGCCATTCCCGATGCCGTGCCTGGCCCGCCGTTTTTGCTCGATTAGCCTGCAAGCTGCCAAAGTCTCGCCACCATCGCATCCTCTCTGGTAACCAGATCCTATCCTGTTCGCGAAAACAAATCCTTCGCCAACGCTCGCGATGGCGATTCGTTTCACGGTCAACAAATTCCCGCTAGATCCGGAATCCCGCGACGCGACAGGCCTCCCATGGGGTTGCGTCGTCCAGCCATTCGCTCTCGACGACGAAGCGGGGATCCCGGGAAGCGGCGTCGCCGCGAGTATCGGAACCGGCGGTAGCAGCATTCGTAAATCGTCTTCTAATTCTTCGTTTCCGCGCTTCGGCTCGTCCTCGTCTCTTAATTCCGCGTCCGGCGGCGCGGCTCCGCAGCCGCTTCCCGCGGCGCTTTCCCCGGCGCCGCTTCCGCTAGCCGATGACGTGGCGCGGTGCGAGGATTGCTACGCGTATATTAATCCGTACTGCGCGATCGACCGGTTTTCGTGGCGATGCTCGCTGTGCGACGTCGTGAATCCGTTTAGCGACGCGGAGCTGCGTCGCTACGGCGGAGCGAACGTCGCAGACGTCGCAGAGCTGTCGCAGACGCTCGTCGAGCTGGATGTCGCCGCGGAAGGCGACACTGACGACGTGGAAGACGAGGGAGGAGAATCATCGGGCGACGGAGAGGTCACGGGTTCGATTCCGCGTGGGCCCGGAGAGCCAATCAGCACCTTCCACGTGTTGGATGAAGCGGAGATTCGGAAGCGGCCGGTTTACATCGCTATGGTTGACGTGTCAGGATCAGAGGAGTTTCTTGAACTCGTTAAGAGCTCGCTGCTGGCCGCGTTAGAAGCACTCTCGCCTGCTGCGTTGTTCGGTCTGGTCACGTTCGGAAGCAAGGTGAGAGTTTGACTCGTGAATCGAATCGAATCGAAAAGACAGGGGGGGGAGGAAGGGGTGGGTGGGTCACATTCGGAAGTAAGGCCTCACCCCCCTGCTCTCACCTCCCCTGCTCTCACCCCCCTGCTCTCACCCCCCTGCTCTCACCTCCCCTGCTTTCACCTCCCCTGCTCGCACCTCCCCTGCTTTCACCTCCCCTGCTCTCACCCCCCTGCTCTCACCCCCCTGCTCTCACCTCCCCTGCTCTCACCTCCCCTGCTCTCACCTCCCCTGCTCTCACCCCCCTGCTCTCACCCCCCTGCTCTCACCCCCCTGCTCTCACCCCCCCGGACTCAACCCCCCTGCTCTCACCCCCCTGCTCTCACCCACCTGCTCTCACCCCCCTGCTTTCACCTCCCCTGCTCTCACCTCCCCTGCTCTCACCCCCCTGCTCTCACCCCCCCGGACTCAACCCCCCTGCTCTCACCTCTCGGGTCTCACCCACCTGCTCTCACCCCCCTGCTCTCACCCCCCCTGCTCTCACCTCCCCTGCTCTCACCTCCCCTGCTTTCACCTCCCCTGCTCTCACCTCCCCTGCTCTCACCCCCCTGCTCTCACCCCCCCGGACTCAACCCCCCTGCTCTCACCCCCCTGCTCTCACCTCCCCTGCTTTCACCTCCCCTGCTCTCACCCCCCTGCTCTCACCTCCCCTGCTCTCACCCCCCTGCTCTCACCTCCCCTGCTCTCACCCCCCCTGCTCTCACCCACCTGCTCTCACCCCCCTGCTCTCACCTCCCCTGCTCTCACCCCCCTGCTCTCACCTCCCCTGCTCTCACCCCCCCTGCTCTCACCCACCTGCTCTCACCCCCCTGCTCTCACCTCCCCTGCTCTCACCCCCCTGCTCTCACCTCCCCTGCTCTCACCCCCCTGCTCTCACCCCCCTCACAGGTGGGTCTGTACGACCTCCAGGGCCCCACAGCGGCAGTGAAAGCAGTCAGTCGCCAACCCCGCCTCAACCTACCACCGCCTGCCGCTAGCGCTGGGCGACCTGCTGCCTGTGCAGGCCTTCCTAGCGTCATTTGTGCTTCCTGTATCCCTCTTCTCCCACCCTCCCCCTCACAGGTGGGACTGTACGACCTCCAGGGCCCCACAGCGGGAGTGAAGGGAGTTGCCATCCCTGCCTCGCCTGCCCACCGTCTCCCGCTAGCCCTGGGCGACCTGCTGCCTGTGCAGGCCTTCCTAGCATCATTCCTGTTGCCTGCATCCCTCTCTTCCCCCCCTCGGTTCCCTCACAGGTGGGACTGTACGACTTGCAAGGCCCCACAGCATCGCTCAAGTCCGTAGCCATCCAGTTTTGAGGCGCCTCATAACTATTCCACTCTTCCCTCGGTTCCCTCACAGGTGGGACTGTACGACTTGCAAGGCCCCACAGCATCGCTCAAGTCCGTAGCCATCCCCGCATCCCCCTCCCACCGTCTCCCACTAGCCCTGGGCGACCTGCTGCCTCTGCAGGCGTTTCTAGCGTCCGTCGCCCACCACAAGGACCACATCGCCGCTGCTCTAGAAACCCTGCGCCCTGCCCCTCCCTCTCTTGATCTCGACGCGTCCGGAGGGGTTAAGGGGGGGAAAGACGCGGGGAGAGGGGGTGGGCGGAGGGGGAAGGGTGCTGCTGCTGGTGCTGCTGGTGCTGCTGGGTCCGGTGGGCTCAAGGGGGCGGAGGGGGCAGAGGCAGGGAGGAGAAGGGACGGGGTTAGGGGCTTTGGAACGGCCCTGGACGCATTGATAAGATACCTAGGGGGTATGGAGGATGGGCCGAGCGCGAGGCTAGCGAGAGGCCTACGAGCAGACATCATCAGTGGGGGTGCTGGTGGTAATGTTAGTATCGCTGCTGCAGCAGCGGCAGCAGCGGCGGCAGGAGCAGTGGGGCCGTTTGTGGGTGCCAGGTTACTCGTCTTCCTCTCGGGGGCTCCTAACCACGGCATGGGGGCTTTAAGTACGGATCGGTACGAGACGGCACTCGCCAGCTTGGCAGTAGCGGCGAATCAGAGGAGCCGGAGCGGTAAAGAGGTGTTGGATCCGATTGTGGCCGATAAGGGGCTGTTGCAGGAGCAGACGCCGTTCTATAGGGAGCTAGCTGCTGCTGCGGTGCAGGCAGGTGTATGCGTGGATCTATTCGCTGTACCCTCTTATGCTAGTAACGGTGATGAGGAGGCTCATAGAGGGGACGGGGGAGCGGCCACTGCAGATGCTGCTGCTGCTGCTGCTGCTGCTGCTGCTGGGGCGGCTATTTCTGCGGTGACCATCTCTGATCCCCCTTCCTCCACCCCTCCCTACCTGCCCACCCCATATTGCGACCTAGCCTCCCTCCGTTGCTTAAGTGTGGAAAGCGGGGGGACTCTTTTCCTCTACCCCTCCCTAGACGAAGCAACCCTCCCTCAAGACATCTACCGCATGCTCTGCCGACCCTCCGCGTTCGGCGGGGTGCTCCGGCTCCGAACCTCCCGAGAGCTTCGGGCAGTCCGAGCCTACGGGCATTTCTTTCCCGATGCTCAATACGAGGATCTATACCATATTATCCGATGTGATCCCTTTGATTCGTACGCGTTTGACCTTGAATTCGCGGGTAAAAAGGGTTTTGGGCAGCAGGCGGGGGGGAAGTCTGGGAAGGGGAAGGGGGGTGGTGGTGGTAACCGCGGGCCGGTGTTACAACTGGCGTTTCAGTACACGGTGATAATACCGGTGGATGGGGGAGGGGAGAGGAGCGAGGAGAACAGCGGAGGGGGTGTTGGAGTGGGTAGTGGGTCGGCTAGTAAAGGGGATGGGGCTGCTGCTTCTGGTCAGAACGGGGTGGCTGGTTTAGGGATGGAGGGAGGAAAAGGGAAGGAAGGGGGGAGGGAGATGGGCGGGGAGGGTGCAGTGGCAGCGGTAGGAGGAGGGGAGGGAGGGGGAGGAGGTGGGAAGGGGGGGAGGAGGAGGAGGAGGGTGGTGCTGAGGAGGAGGTTGAGAGTGAAGACGATATGTGTGGAGGTGGCAAAGGGAGCGAGGGAGATATACGAGTCAGCTGACAACGAGGCGATTCTTACTGTGCTCACACACAAGGTGAGTTGAAAGACATGCTGTGTGTGACAACGCACATTGTGCGCGACTTGAGGTGAGGAGGAGGGTGGAGGGTGGTACTGAGGAGGAGGAGGCTGAGAGTGAAGTCGATGTGTGGGGTGGTATATGAGACAGCACACAACGAGGCCATTCTCACTGTTCTTACCCACAAGGTGAATTGAAAAACACAAGGTGATCTTAACTGATCTTTGGCTCTCAGCTCAACCAGCCACACTCAGTCGCTCGCCTCGACGTCTCCTTCGCAGCCTGCCTGCCTGCCGCCCGCCCGCCCGCCCGCCCACCCGCCCGCCCGCCCGCCTGCCTGCCTGCCTGCCCCCAGCTGCAGCCCCACCCACTTCATCCCCATCCCTCCCGAGCCTATGCCTCCTTCCCCCTCTTCTCCACCTCCTCCCGCCCCGAGGTCATCCGTGCTTCCCTGGAGGAGGGAGTATGGGGGGGCCGGCTCCTGCTACAAGACTGGCTGGTGATCTTAACCGCTCACTACAATCACGCCTTCGGATTGGCACAGTTCAACCAACCGCACTCTGTCTCTCGCCTCAACGTGTCCTTCTCAGCCTACCCACAGCACAATCAAACCAGCATCTTGTCCCTCCTCCCCTGTACCATTCCCCGTCTTCCCCTCCGTTGGCTTTGCTCAGGTCATCCGTGCTTCCCTGGAGGAGGGAGTGAGGGAAGGGAGGCTCCTGCTGCAAGACTGGCTCGTGATCTTGACCGCTCACTACAATCACGCCTTCGGATTGGCACAGTTCAACCAGCCACACTCAGTCACCCGCCTGGACGTCTCCTTCTCAGCCTGCCCGCAGCTGCAGCCCCTGCCGCGCCTGGCCTTTGCCCTTCTTCGATCCCCGCTGCTGCAGCTGCCCAGGGAGGGGGTGCATCCAGACCTCCGCACCTTCCTGCACTGCCTCTACAGGTGATTTAGCCGCTTCTCACCAGGTAACCCCTGCTCCAGACCCCTCCCTCTCTCGTTCTCAGCGTGCCCCCAGCTGCAGCCCTTGCTAAGGCTGGCTTTCACTCCCCTGCGCTCCCCGCTGCTGCAGCTTCCCAGGGAGGGGGTGCACCCAGAACTTCGCACCTTCCTGCACTGCCTCTGTAGGTGATTCGAGGTCTATCTGTCTGTCTGTCTGTCTGTCTGTCTGTCACTAGAGGTGGTTCAGCGGGTAATCCAGTGCCCTGCTGCGCTCGCCGCTGCCACAGCTCCCCAGGGAGGGGGTGCACCCAGATCTTCGCACCTTCCTGCACTGCCTCTACAGGTGATTCGAGCTCTATCTGTCTGTCTGTCTGTCTGTCTGTCTGTCTGTCTGTCTGTCTGTCTGTCTGTCTGTCTGTCTGTAGAAGTGGTTCAACGGGTAGTCCAGCGCCCTTCTGCGCTCTCCGCTGCTGCAGCTCCCAAGGGAAGGTAGGGGCTGCACCCAGACGTCCGCACCTTCCTGCACTGCCTCTACAGGTGATTTAGCCGCTTCTCTCCAGGTGACCCCTGCTCCAGTCCCCTCCAGCTGCCCCCAGCGTGCCAAGGCTAGCTTTCGCCCTGCTGCGCTCCCCGCTGCTGCAGCTCCCAAGGGAAGGTAGGGAGTGCACCCAGACGTCCGCACCTTCCTGCACTGCCTCTACAGGTAAGCCCAGCCATCCACTCCAGCCATCCACTCCAGCCATCCACTCCAGCCATCCACTCCAGCCAACCTCTACAGGTAAGTACTTTGTTAACAGCAATTCCTGCTGAAGCTCCTTGCAGCTCCCTCGCTGCTTCCCAGCCTGCCACCAGCGGCCGCCCCAGCAGCCCCTTTCCGAAGCAGCCCCTTTCCTTAACGCATTCTCTCACTCCCTCTCTTCCACTCTCTCCTCATCTCTTGCCATCCCCCTCTCTATCCTTCTGTGCCTTTCTTCTCTCTCTCTCCCATGCCTCCCACTTTTCTAGTTTTGAGGTGCCTCGAAACCATCCTTCTGTGTCTTCCTATTCACCAATAACTCCCACTTTTCTCCCCCCGTGCCCCTCAGCTCCTTTTCTCATGCGAGCGGTCTACCCTGCCCTCCCCTCCTACACAACACCCAACCGCCCAACCTCCCTCCGTCACTCTCACATTCTCTCCTCTCACTCTCCCGTTGCCCTTCATGCTTCCCTCCCTTCCCATCCCCCAGCTCCCTCGACCCCGCCTTTCTCGTGCGAGCAGTGTGCCCTGTTTTTGAGGCGCCTCAAAAATAGACTCCTCAAGCAGTGTGCCCTGTACTCTCCTCCCACACCACTCCCTATTCGCCGGCCTCCCCCCGTGATCCATCTCCTCTCACTCCTTCTCCCCCGTGCTTCCCACCCTGCCTCCTCCCCTTTCGGCTGCAGTTCCCTAGACCCCTTGTTCCTCATGCGAGCGGACTACCCAGTCCACTCCTCCTATACTACTCCAGACCGCCTGGCCTTCCCGCACCACTCGCTCAGCCGTGCTGCCCTGGTCACGAGCAGCAGCCCCATCTTTCTGCTCCTACACCACTCGTGACCGCCCGGCCTTCCCGCATCACTCTTCATTATCCTCCTCTCACTCCTCTCTGTCTGTGTCTCTCCCCGTTTCTCCCCATGTCTCCCCGTTCTTCCCAGTTCCCTCGACCCCTCGTTCTTGATGAGAGCAGTCTACCCAGTCCTCTCCTCCTACACCACTCCGGACCGCCCGGCCTTCCCCCGTCACTCCCTCAGCCGCGCTGCCCTAGTCACCAGCGGCAGCCCCATCTTCCTGCTCGACGCATTCAGCACCATCATTGTGTTCTACTCGCCTGTTGCTCCCCCTGACCTCCCATTTCCACCGCCCCAAACGAGTAAGAGACTTCGCCTTCAGCTTGTAGGTATTTCCTGCTCCATAAGTGTTTCCTTCTGAGTCGTCTTGCCTCACTGGTCTTGAACGGCAGCCCCATCTCTCTCCTCGACGCCTTCAGCACAATAATTATCTTCTACTCGCCTGCTGCTCCTCCTGACCTCCCGTTCCCGCCTCTGCAAACAAGTACCGCTCTTTAAGGCGTTGCCTGCTCCCCAGACAAACACAGAGTGACTCTTGAGTCGACTCAAAAGTCACCTTGCAAACAAGTAAGTCGGCTCGCTCTTTAAGGCGTTGCCTGCTCCCCAGACAAACACAGAGTGACTCTTGAGTCGACTCAAAAGTCACCGTGCAAACAAGTAAGTCGGCTCGCTCTTTCAGGCGTTGCCTGCTCCCCAGACAAACACAGAGTGACTCTTGAGTCGACTCAAAAGTCACCTTGCAAACAAGTAAGTCAGCTCGCTCTTTTAAAACCCGCGGCCCAAATTGTTCATACGCACTGCGTATAAACTTTTGAGCCTCGGCCTGGACGAAATACGCGGGAAAATCGTGACGGTGTTTCATCTCGCGAATTCGCAATTTGTCGCGGACCGTCAGATTTTCTTGCACGCAGTGCGACGGCTGAGATTACATTTCGACTGACTGGGGGAAGCACTTTGCTTGCGCGCCGTCAGATGGAAATCCACAAAATATGGATGGCCAAAAAATGCGAGGCACTTGGTGTCCCAAAATACCTTCCGCACTGAACTTGAAAAAACACCCCCGAGTGCTAGTCACGTTACCCCCATCTACACCCACGAAAACACGACTTTCAAACGCAGTGCGTCTGAAGGCCGCGCCTCGCAATTTGGGCCGCGGGTTTTAAGGCGTTGCCTGCTCCCCATACAAACACGAAGTGACTTTTGAGTCGACTCAAAAGTCACCTTGCAAACAAGTAAGTCGGCTCGCTCTTTAAGGCGTTGCCTGCTCCCCAGACAACTCCTGATGATCCCTTCGTGCGTCTTTCCTCACATTTCTCTCAACTCCTGGCATTCCTCTTTCTATGTTTCCTAGATCTCCGTCACACAACGATCAACCATCTGAGGGCGTATTCCTACAGACTCGGATTCGAAACGAGTTGGATCCGGAAGTGAAAACCCAAGCTGAACCACATAAGTTGTGCATTGCACCGAACTGTTCTGCGCACGTATAGTAGGATTCGAGATTTCGGACCGCTCAATATCACGCCATGCGCAATCACCGTCCGGGTGTTCATGATTCAAATCCCCACATCTCTCTCTTTCTCTCTCCTTCCCCTCTCTCAAATGGCCCTCTCGTGCCGCTTTCTATGTTTCCTAGGTCTCCTTCGCGCGACCATCAACCGTCTGAAAGCCGACCGCATAATCACGCCACGTACAATCACCATCCGGGGCGGCATTGACAGCACAGCGCCGTTCGAGACATTTCTGATTGAGGAGCAGGACGTGGATGGGGACGTGGAGGGGGGAGCTGTGGGCATGGGCTTTGTCGCATTTCTGGAGTCAATTGCCCGGGATGTTAGAGAGTATATGAAGTAGCATCAAGAGCACCAGCAAGTGTGTTGACAGCACGGCACGGCGCCCCTTGAGGCGTTTCTCAATGGGGAGTATATTAGACGACGTGTCCCCCCATCCACGTCCTACTCACAGACGTGGATGGGGGGGGAGACGCGGAGTGAGGAGCCGCTGTGTATCAGAAACTGAGAAGGATATGATAGATGGAGTGTACACACAGATATATCTCAGTGTTGTACTCTCTAAGAGACAACCTTATACAGTCTATACAAACATGACAAATACACATGTTTGACACACCCCCTAGACTGCATAGGGGAATGCTCTAAACAAACAGCTCTGGGCGGCACTACTAGTCCAACCGCTGAGACAAGGGTCTGAGAGACCAGTCAGAAGGAGTACAAACAAGGCAAGAACAAGAGCAGGGCGGCACTACTAGTCCAGCCACTGGGAGAGGACACAAGTCCAGTCTGAGTATACATATAAAGGACAGTACAAAGTCAAGGTCCTAGCAAGTGAGAGGCTACAGGAACTAGACCAAGCTGTACACAGTGCCGCTGATGATCTTTAGGCGCAAGCGCCTTCGTAAAGATATCAGCCGTATTGGCACCTGAGGCCAAGTGTACTACGCGAGCCTGACGTCGCTCCTGTAGCTCACGCAGGAGGAAGTACCGCAGCTGAATGTGCTTTGCTCTGCCCTCGAGTCGAGGCTCCTGACACAGGAGGATCATGGCCCTGTTGTCAGCGAACAGGACCGGGGCAGAGCTAGGCCGCTCACCTAAGTCGGTGAGCAAGAAGGTCAGCCAGCGGAGCCCCTGTGCCGCCATGGCACCAGCGTAGATCTCAGCCTCACAGCTGGACTGCGCAACAGACGAGGAGCGGGTAGCTCTCCACGAGACGGCACCTGAGCCAAGGCTGAAGCAGTAGCCCTGGGTAGACCTGAGTGTCTCAGCGTCGTCTGCCCACGAAGCGTCTGTGTGTCCAGTAAGGACCACTGGCCTGCGTCCTCCTAGCACTAACCCCATGCCCGATGTACCAGCAAGATAACGCAGAACCCTCTTAGCGGCAGACCAGTGCTGCGGTCGGTGCCTGCCTGTGGCCACAAAGCGAGCCAGGATGCTGAGAGGGTATGCGAGATCTGGGCGAGTGCAAGTCATCAGGTACATGAGGCAACCCACCAGCTCTGCGTAGGGGCCGCTGGGCTCTACCAACTCCTCAGGCACTGGAGCGGAGAGCCTGTGGTCTACAGGCAGAGGGGTGGGCTGTGCAGAGGAGAACTGAAGGCTGAACCTCTGAAGGACCTGGCGCACCAAGTGTGACTGAGTCAGGGTGATGGTGCGCGCAGCTCTGTCCCTGGAGATCTGCAAGCCAAGGTAACGGCGCAGTTCTCCAAGGTCAGTGCACGTGTGTCTCTTCAGCAGCTCTGCCTTCACGGAGGCTAGTGCGTCCCTGTCAGCTGTGGAAAAGACCAGGTCGTCGACGTAAACAAGGATGTAGAACGGAGTCTGGCCAGCACGAACGAAGAGTGAAGGGTCTGCGGAAGACGGAAAGAACTGCAGGTCAGCAAGCGTAGCACGGAGAGTGTCGTGCCACTCACGGGGAGCCTGGCGCAGGCCGTAGACGGGGCGCCGCAGGAGCCACTGGGTCCCAGGAGGGAAGGTGCCAGTGAAGCCCTGAGGGCGCCGCAGGTAGACCTGCTCGTGTAGGCTGCCCTGAAGGAAGGCAGTGGAGAAGTCGAGGGAGTGAAGCTCGTAGTCACGCTGAGCAGCTAGGTGTAACAGAACCCGAAGAGTAGTCATCTTCGGGGTCGGAGCGAAGGTCTGGAAGAAGTCCACCCCCTCGCGCTGACTGAAGCCTCTAGCCACATAGCGCGCCTTGAAGACAGGCGGCTCTCCAGGAGGGCGCTTCACCTTGAAGAGCCAGCGGCCATCGACTACGTTCACCCCAGGTGGGGGAACTGCGTCGACGAAGGTGCCGGTGGATCTCCAAGATGCCATCTCCTGCTCCATGGCAGCTATCCACTGAGAGGCCCAGCGTCCCGAAGTCGCCTCAGCGTAAGTGCGAGGGGTCGGGATGTCGAAAGCGTCTGGGTCACCCTCAGGGACTAGCAGCATGGAACAGAGATGGGGAGCAGCCTCGGAGAGGAAAGCAAGCTCGAACAGGCGGTCCTCCAGGACGTCACTGCCAAGGGCAGGAGCACCCCCGACAGACGGAGGACAGGCAGGGTCAGAGACCAGAGCGGAGGCGTAGTCAAGGCGGCGGGTAGAGGCGAAGTCAGCGACAGCAGCGACAAGAGCGTCAAGGCACGAGGTCGGAACAGACGGGTCGGTAATGAGAGAGGCAAGGACCCGAGGAACAAGGGGACGAGCGGCACGAAGGTAGTCAGACAGCGGGGGGGGTGCAACAACAAGGGAGGACGGAGGAGGCGACGGCAGAAAGGGAGGACGAGACGCGTGGGCACGAAGCAACATAGGGTGGGAGCGCAAGACAGGCGAGGCAGGACGAGCACGGGAGGGACGGTGAGACCAGACGTGCGACGGAGGAGTCGGGTCAGGAGACAGAGGAGGGGACACAGGAGGGGAACGAGGGGGGAGACGGGCCGGGGACGAGTCCGGCGGAGGGAAGACAGGGCCGTAGACAGGAAGAGGAGGAGACGGCCGGGGAGGAACCGACGCAGGGTCGGGGGACGGAAGGCCGAGCAGGCGAAGGGCTGACACCGGCGGGGACTGCTGCTGCGGCGGCACAACGGGGACACCGGGACTCTCCACACCAGCACCCCCAGAGGAACCACCCCCAGAGCTACCGGGACGAGCACCCCCAGAGTCAGCGAACGGGTGCTGCGACGGCGGCGGCGGCGGCGGCGGCAGCGACAACGACGGCTGCAGCGGCGGCAGAGGCGGTGGAGGGGGGGACTAGGGAGGGGACGCTGGGGGAGGGGCGGCCGGCGAGGACTAAACAGGAGGGCCACCAGAGTCAGAAGACCCCTCAACCGGGTCCACCGACGGAAGGGGGGTAACGTGGGACACACCAGAGGGGGCGGGACGGGGAGGAGGAGGAGGAGGGGCAGGGACTACCGGGGAAGGAGTGACCAGGAACAGGGGGGGGGTAACCGGGGGACCACGGTGGGGGAAGCGACGGTAGTAGGAGACGGACTCAGCAAAGGTGACGTCACGAGAGTGAAAGAAGCGGTGAGACGGCGGGTGGTAAAAGTGCCAGTCGGACGCGTCAAGGGGAAAACCAAGGAAGACGCAGGGAAGGGTGCGGGCAGTGAGCTTGTCCGTGCCGGAGGCACGGACGTGAGCAAGGCAGCCCCAGACGTGGAACGCAGACGCGTCACCAGGAGACCCAGTCCAAAGACGAGTCGGCGAAACCTGCGGCTGGGGGCGGCCAGTAGCTGGAGGCGTGGCAGCGCGGCCAGAAGGGGCAGGCAGGATCATGGGTGCGAGCACCTGAAAACGAGCGCGCGAACTGCGGGGGGGCAGGGTAGCTGGGTGATGTCGCGACAAAGGACAGCATGAGGCAATCGAGGTCGAGTGGAGCAGGGGACGCGGGGACAGGAGAGCAGGGGGAGGCGCAGGCACGGCTGGTAGGGGAGGGTGTACGGTGAGCGCGACAGGGAGGGCGGGGGGGGGGGGGGGGGGGGGGGGGGGGGGGGGGGGGGGGGGGGGGGGGGGGGGGGGGGGGGGGGGGGGGGGGGGGGGGGGGGGGGGGGGGGGGGGGGGGGGGGGGGGGGGGGGGGGGGGAGGGACCGACAGGAGCAGGCAGCAGCAACCTGGGTAGACGCAGCCACCTGAGGAGGCGCCCCAGCCGGGGGGGTCACGGTGTCCAGAGTGAACAGGCCGGACACCGGGTCCCAGGGGAACGTGGACAGGGGGGCACCAGTGGCAGCCTCGGTACAGACAGCATACCGCTCGTGACCAGGGAACGTAGTGGTGACGCCAAGGTCCTGGAGGCAGCCGACACCAACTAGGTTCCTGGAGAACGAGGGGATATGCAGACGTGTGAGAGAGCCCGAAGGAACCGCCGGACAGGGAAGGGTGGTGGAACTGCGGGCGACGACCGGACCGCCAGAGGGGTCAGCAAGAGAGACGGCAGCTGGGACAGGAAGCGGCGTCAGGGTGGTAGAGTCGCGGAAGAAACACCGAGAAGCGCCAGAGTCCAAGGTGAAGGAAAGCGAAGCAGAGGCGTCTGGCAACGGAACGACGGCGGAAGCACCAAGACTACACAAAGCAGGGGATCCTACGCCTCACGCAGCAGGGGAGGCTAAGCTAGGCACACCTACACTAGGCAACATTGAGTAATAAGCGGGAAGCACACTAGAGTCATCAGCATACATCGCATGCAGAGCAGCAACAATGGCATCCATGTCCATATCAAAAATCTGAATCTTACGACTAAGCAAACTGTGCCAGTCCGGGAGGTCTGGCGACGGGCCGAAGCGCTGACGAAAGAGGTCGTCCAGGCGACGAAAACAGCGGGGAGTGGAGTGACCGAGCCTACCGCAAACGAAACCGCGGCGAGGACCGGTCTGGATCTGGTACTGACAACGCCCGCCACCAGAGCCACCACTCGGCACACCACCACGCGCCCGTCCACCGCCAGCGCCGAGCCACCCGGGCGGGAGGACACTCGTCTGCCGCGTCTGCGACGGCTGCTGCGGCTGCTGCGAAGGCTGCGACTGCGGCGGCTACTGCGGCTGCTGCAACTGCAGGGGCGGCGGCTCAGCTGGACTGGGCAGGGTCCCCTCGTCCGCTCCAGCACCAGACGACCCAACCCCACCACTACCCCCTCCCGCACCGCCGCCGCCGCCGCCGCCGCCGCCGCGCCCAGCCTTGGGGCGGCGGCCCTTCCCCGAACGAAACTGCGCTGCAGCAGCAGTCTCAGCCACTGTGGCAGAGCCGTCGGAGAAGGTACACTGGGCGGGGGCACAACCCTGAAAGATATGGACAGGCACGACACCGCTCGCCTGGGCGATGGAGCGGTGACGGGTCTCTATCACAGTCAGGGTGTCGACAAAGTCAGTGAGGGTGAGGTCAACGGGGTGAATGCTAAGGAAGCGGTCGCGGGCGACAGCAAGGCGGTCAGGGAGGCGGGTGGCAAGCAGGTAGAGGGTAGAGGTAATGGGCGGCTGGTGTGCTCTAAGCTGTGCATCAGTGCAGGCTGCACGCCAGGTCTCATCTATCGAGCGCAGGTGGGCAGCGAGGTCAGAGACAGTGGGGAAAGACGCAAGGTCAGGAAAGAGCATCGGGAGGATCAGGCGACCCACCGAGGCAGCTGGATGGGTGGAATAGCGGTGGATGACAGCATCTAAGTATGCCTGGGCAGTGGTGAGAGACCTAAAGCGAGGGCGCTCGGACGGGGGAAGGGCGTTGCTGATGGCAAGCTGGGCGACAGCATCGCGAGAAAGCCAGACAGAGCGCGCACGGGCAGTGGCAGCAGTGGACTCGCGCTCAGTGGGTGTGGAGTCAGCGGGCAGAATAGCAGGGGGGTCTGGGCAGGGGAGCGTACCGTCAAGGTGTGCGGAAAGCGGTTCACCATCCTGCCGCTGGCCAGTGAGTTGGCGACGGAGGTCGGCAAGCCACGCCTCGAACTCCAGAGGCTGGCCTTCAGCGTCGAAGCGAAGCTCCGCCGCCATCAGGAACAGTGCAGTGCGGTGCAGGGCAGTGCAGCAAGGTGGAGTGTGGTGCCGTGCGGTACAGTGCGGTGTAGTGCGGTGTAGGGCGGTGCAGTGCGGTGCCAGGCAGTACAGGGTGGTGCGGGGCAGTGCAGTGCGGGGCAGTACGGTGCAGGGCAGTGCAGGGCGGGGGGGGGGGGGGGGGGGGGGAACCGTACCAGTGAGAAGGACCGGGGCCGGGGCAGGGACGAGCGCAGGGGCCGGGCCGGTGCAACGGGGCCGGGCGGGCGCGACGGGGCCGGGCTGGTGCGACGGGGCCGGGCTGGTGCGACGGTGCCGGGCCGGTGCGACGGGGCCGGGCGAGCAGGACGGTGGCCCAGGAGGGGCGCACCGGGGCTGTGCGGGCGCGACGGGGCCGGACGGGTGCGTCGGGGCCGGGCAGGGGGCGACGGGGCCGGGCGAGTGCAACGGGGCCGGGCGGGCGTGACGGGGCCGGGCTGGTGCGACGGGGCCGGGCTGGTGCGACGGGGCCGGGCTGGGGCTACGGGGCCGGGCGAGCGCGACGGGGCCTGAAGGCGTGAAGGGGCCCAGGAGGGGGGGGGGCTCGACGCGGCCCAGGAGGGGCGCTACTGGGCCCAGGAGGGGCACGACGGGGGCCCAGGAGGGGCGCTACAGGGGCCCAGGAGGGGCGCGACGGGGCCCAGGAGGGGCGCTACGAAGCCCAGGAGGGGCGCGACGGGGCCCAGGAGGGGCGCGACAAGGCCCAGGAGTGGCGCTACGGGGCCTAGGAGAGGCGCGCCGGGGCCTGGGAGGGGCGCGACGGGGCCCAGGAGGGGCGCTACAGGGCCCAGGGAGGGCGCGACGGGGCCCAGGAGGGGCGCTACGGGGCCCAGGAGGGGCGCTTCGAAGCCCAGGAGGGGCGCGACGGGGCCTGGGAGGGGCGCGACGGGGCCCAGGAGGGGTGCTACAGGTCCCAGGAAGGGCGCGACGGGGCCCAGGAGGGGCGCTACGGGGCCTAGGAGGGGCGCGACGGGGCCCAGGAGGGGCGCTACGGGGCCCAGGAGGGGCGCGACGAGGCCCAGGAGGGGCGCTACAGGGCCTAGGAGGGGCGCGACGTGGGCTGGGAGGGGCGTGACGGGGCCCAGTGAGGGGTGCGACGGGGCCCAGGAGGGGCACTAGAGGGGTGAGCGGAAGCGGTAGGTGGGGGGGGGGGGGGATCCTACCTACGCGTGATACCATATCAGAAACTGAGAAGGATATGATAGATGGAGTGTACACACAGATATATCTAAGTGTTGTACTCTCTAAGAGACGACCCTATACAGTCTATACAAACATGACAAATACACATGTTTGACACTGTGGGCATGGGCTTTATCGCCTTCCTAGGGTCAATTCCATGGGATGGGATCCTAAAAAATACCTGTAGTAGAGAGGGTGCTTACCACCATTCATGATGCATCATTAGTGGCATTGACAGCATAGCACAGCAACCTTGGAGACATGTCTGATTTTGGAGCAGAACGTGGATAGGGACATGGAGGTGAGCAGTGGGTTCGAATGATAGAATGAACTAGAATGAAAGAGTACAAGAGAATATAGGCAAGAGTTGTACCCTCTAAGGCACAAACCTATACTGTCTTCAATAACATACTAGGATGTGTTTCGACACACCCTCTAGACAGTATAGGGGCAGTGCCTAACAAACGGACAAACAGCTCAGGGCGGCACTACTAGTCCAGCCTCTGAGATAAGGGTCCAAAGACCAGTCAGACAAGTACAGACCAACACAAGAGCACGACCAGGGCGTCACTACTAGTCCAGCCACTGGGAGAGGTCACAAGGCCAGTCCGAGTAATATATATATGAAGGTCTATACACAATCAAGGTCCTAGCAAGTGAGAGGCTGCGGGAACAAGATCAAGCTGTACACAGTGCCGCTGATGATCTTTAGGCGCAAGCGCCTTCGTCAAGATATCAGCCATGTTGGCACCAGAGGCTAAGTGTACTACGCGGGCCTGGCGGCGCTGCTGCAGCTCGCGCAGGAGGAAGTACCGCAGCTAGATGTGCTTCGCTCTGCCCTCAAGTCGAGGCTCCTGACACAGGAGGATCATGGCCCTGTTGTCAGCGTACAGGACCGGGGCAGAGCTAGGCCGCTCACCTAAGTCGGTGAGCAAGAAGGTCAGCCAGCGGAGCACCTGTGCCGCCATGGCACCGGCGTAGATCTCAGCCTCATAGCTGGACTGGGCAGCAGACGAAGAGCGAGTAGCTCTCCACGAAACAGCACCTGAACCAAGGCTAAAGCAGTAGCCCTGGGAGGACCTGAGGGTCTCAGCGTCGTCTGCCCAAGAAGCATCTGTGTGCCTAGTAAGGACCACTGGCCTGCGTCCTCCGAGCACTAGCCCAATGCCTGATGTACTCACAAGATAGCGCAAAACCCTCTAACGGCTGACCAGTGATGTGGTCGGTGTCTGCTTGTGGCCACAGAGCGAGCCATGATGCTGAGAGGGTATGCGAGATCTGGGTGAGTGCAAGTCATCAGGTACATGAGGCAACCCACCAACTCTGCGTAAGGGCCACTGGGCTCTATTGATTCCTCAGGAACAGGAGCCGAGAGCCTGTGGTCTACTGGCAAGGGTGTGGGCTGTGCAGAAGAGAACTGAAGACCGAACCGCTGAAGGACCTGGTGCACCAAGTGTGATCGTGAGAGAGTGATGGTGCGCGCTGCTCTGTCCCTGGAGATCTGCAGGCCAAGGTAGTGGTTCAGCTCTCCTAGGTCAGTGCAGGTGTGTCTCTTTAGCAGCTCTACCTTCACGAAGGCCAGTGCATCCCTGTCTGCAGTAGCAAAGACCAAGTCATCTACAAAAACAATGATGTAGAACGTGGTCTGACCAGCACAAACGAAGAGCGAGGGGTCTGAGAGGACGGAAAGAACTGTATGTCAGCTAGGGTAGCACGTAACGTGTCGTGCCACTCACGGGGCGCATGTCGCATGCCGTAGACTGGGCGCCACAGGAGCCACTGGGTCTCAGGAGGGAAGGTACCAGTAAAGCCCTAGGGGCCGCGCAGGTAGACCTGCTCGTGTAGGCTGCCCTGAAAAAAAGCTGTGGAGAAGTCGAGAGAGTGGAGCTCGTAGTCACGCTGTGCTGCTACGTATA